TCAGCCTAAGCGGGGTATATCCGCTTAACCCTTTGCCGACGATGATTTAACCCTTTGCCGACGATGATTTAACCCTTTGATGATGATTTAACCCTTTGCCGACGATGATTTAACCCTTTGACGACGATGATTTAACCCTTTGACGACGATGATTTAACCCTTTGACGGCGATGATTTAACCCTTTGACGACGATGATTTAAGCAGATTTGTATACGATAACATTAAACTTCTAATAAACAGAATAAAAATCCACACAAGTGAGAAATATTTGCTCTCGAAGATAATATTTACAATTCGTAATAAAATAACAGACCTTACCATAGTGAAGTACTTAATGAATATAGTGTTTAGTTATATGGCAACTACTTCTCTCTCTTGACACATTACACATACAAACATGGCATAACGTAACCAGGACAGTCTGTTATTAATTTCACATAGGATGCGTTACTATTTTTTTTTATGCCAGACCAAAGATTCAGGGGAACTGGGTTGGGTGAGGCAAGTTGTGTGTGGCCTTGTGGGGTGTTAGAACCAAGAGCATTAAACGCTTGTTTCTCACCGTTGTTTTTGTCTCGTGTGTGTTTGTAAGTGTTGGGGGGGTGGGGTGGTAGTGTGGGTGAGTGTGGGGGTGAGTGTGGTGGGGTGAGTTTGAGGTTGGGGGTGGGTGAGGGGGTGAGTGTGGGGGTGGGTGAGTGTGGGGTGGGTGGGGGTGGGTGGTGTGTGGGGGTGGGTGAGTGTGGGGTGGGTGGGTGTGGGGTGTGGGTGGTGGTGTGGGGTGGGTGTGGGGTGGGTGGGTGGTGGGTGGGGGTGGGGTGGTGGTGTGGGAGTGTGGGGAGGGTGAGTGTGGGGGTGGGTGAGTGTGGGGGGTGGGTGAGTGTGGGGGTGGGTGGTGTGAGGGGGGTGGGTGGGTGTGGGTGGGTGGTGTGGGGTGGGTGTGGGGTGGGTGTGTGGGGGTGGGTGTGGGGTGAGTGTGGGGTGGGTGGGTGTGGGGTGGGTGGGGTGGGGTGGGGTGGGTGTGGTGTGGGGGGTGTGGGGTGTGGGGTTGAGTGTATGTATGCGTGCGTATATTAGGAAAAGTTACACGATGAGATATAGGACTAGAAACCCAAAAGTTGAACACATACTCATGGATGTTGTCTGAACAGTTTCACAGCGACACTCTCTTTCGGAGTTTCACTCGTAAATGTTACTTACACACACACACACACACACACACACACACAGAAAGGTTACGTATACAATCCATAGAGGCGACAGAGTAGAAAAAACTTCGACAGTATTTCAGCAACACACCCGATAACTCTGGTACTAACGCCCTTCTTATAAAGTGTTCCAAGCTTAACTACCCTGGAAGTATCAGTGTACAGTAAAGTAGTTCATGGGGCATACACCTTTCTGGTATAATTAGTCCTTGTTACCCTGATACCGAGTGTAGTATAATGTGGCTATGTGGTGTATTTCCTGATGGTAATAACTTATATGTATGTCTTCGGCTTTTTTAGTAACATCGGAATGGGTATAGAGAAGGGGTGGAGGGTAGGGGTAGAGGGAGGGGTGCAAGGAAGGGTAGGGGGAGAGAGGGTAGAGAGGGGGGGGGTGGAGTTTTAATTGACCTATTGTTATGCAAGTATTTTCTGTATACTTTTATCACTACCTTTCCATACTTCCTGAGGTACTGCATACTCATATCCATCGACTTCCCTACTGTCATATCATCAACTTTATCCGTGTTCCATAAAACTGTCTCTCTAATCGTTTAAATCTTTCGTTAAGTTTAATGAGAAACGAAAGTATTAAATAAAACAAGAATACGCAAATATTAACACAAATAAAAGAATACTTGTGAACCAAAAATAACGGTATGTCACTAAATATTCCTGAAATGCTGATGTGACGAAGATGATTATAGAAGGAGGTGTGGGTCTGTGAGTAGAATAATTAGTCCGTTACATGAAGTGATCTATCTCAAGTTAAGACGAGTGTGTGTGTTATGGTGTCACACGTTACCAGGTGCTTCGAGGGTGGGGAGGGTGGGGGGGAGGGTGGGGGAGGGGGTGGGGGGACTGTTAATGACAAGACTCACGCACCTGTCCCTTATATAGTTTGTCACCTGCAGTTAGGAGGGTTAGGTTGTGAAAGAAATATTAACATTACCCATATTTGGACACTAGTTATATACAGATTACTCTACCTAGTCCCTGCTTGTGTGTGTGTGTGTGTGTGTTTTATTTCGGTATACGAGTATTCATATGCGTGTTTGCATGCATATATGTGGCATGAAAGAAGAGGTTCTCCTCAACAGAGCGTGACACATAAGGGTGTGTCGAGGTAATACAATACGACACATGTAGTTTGTGTTCCATGAGCAATGACACACACACACACACACACACCATCTGCTCCTGATTACCATTAAGTAGTGCCAATTGTGTAGTGTGGCTAGCGAGTTTGATATCATGGATGTGAAAAGTCATTTGTCTTTTAAGTGAAATTTCTCCAATTTAATATTATGTTCCATCTGGCTTTTATAATAGAGAGTGTTGAGAATTAGCACATCACAATTATACATTACTGAATGATATAACTGAAGTGATAATGGAGTTTCGGTGTAGTTTACATCGGTTGGCCTCTCCTCATCTTGACCTGACCTGACCCAACCCAACCTAGCCTAACCAGCCAATGTCACTGAAGCTTTGGTGGAATAACATCCCCAAAACAGCAATCCAAATTATATGAAAAATTTAACGCCACTTGTTTGTTAATGTGTGTGTGTGTTATGTAAATATTATCATTATACAGTCACTTCCCCCAAAATTTATCTTTACAGAATTGTATCGAGATAATATGACACAACGGACGAAGGATTTTGACAACCCTACCGAGACAACAGGAGTCACAGTGTTCATTCTGAAAATCATCGATCACCCCAAGTGCAGATAGTTTTTTGACTGACTTTACTTGGCTCGATTCTCATTCTGATCCTAGAAGTATTAATGTGAAATTTCAATATGTTTTCAATATTCTCGTATAGATCGCTGCCATCATTCCTTAAGTTAAGAGGCGCAACATCATGGGGTAATAAATGTTTATATCACGCACGGTTGTCATGGTCCGTGTGTCTCAACTGGTGTTTACGTGCAGAGTGAGTCAAGGAAGAAGAGACTCACCCGCTGCCATTATCAAGAGCACACCCGAGAGGCACAGTCACAAGAAAGATGAGACGATTACTCAGAATACATTATACAAGGAGAAGATTACCCAGAATACATTATACAAGGAGAGGATTACCCAGAATACATTATACAAGGAGAGGATTACCCAGAATACATTATACAAGGAGAGGATTACCCAGAATACATTATACAGACTCGCAAACACAAATAAGAGACGTCCCATATTGACAGAGACAGGCAGAGAGGGAGTATACATAAGTAATGCTGTATCTTAACTACAAAAAAACAAAAAAAACACTTCTCGATCAGTTCTAAAAGTCTGGAGTGTATTGACGGAGGTGGTAACTCATCTTGCTAAGTCTACGATTGTTGTGGTGAATAATACAGTACATTATACTTGAGTCCTGTTATGAATACTGAACCAATATACAACGATAAAGACACCACCATTTAGCCGGCTCTTAACCCAACGTTCATCATCAAAATTCCCGTAAGAACAGTTCCTACCCTACAGATATCATTCATGCTCCCACATACACGGCCACTACCCACAGTTATCAAAAGTATCCACACAATCACGGTATCTGCCTCCTCCCCTCCCCCCAACCCACAAACATCAACCACACCATCTACCCCCCACAGTTATCAGTCATGTTCCCATAAAGGTTCCTACGACACTGGGTTGCATGGTGTGTTTTGAGTGCCAATTTGCGTCAGATTAGCAGCGATTAACGTGTACTGATTTAGGGGATACATTTCTGCCGTAATGGAGGAGTGAGGGATGTTAATGCTTCTAACCATTATATCCTGTGGTCCTAAGGTCATAATTGTATTTCTTTTATCTTTGTGCCACAACAGAAAAAGGTGAATAAACATAATGGTTAAGAATGATGCCTTCAATAAGAGATCAATGGGGTAACGCCTTCGTGAATGTGAGAGAGTGAAGTGAATAATGATATACATACGTTAGAGAGTTAGTGAGAGTTAGAAAGCCAAACAACGTGACATATAATTTAGGTCTTTTATCAAATTTCTAATATGGTTTATTACTCACGTGTATTGATTCTCGATCTGAAATTTTAAACTTGGATGGTGAATTAACGCAACTCTCTGCCGTTTATGTCTATATTGTCAGCTAAATGGAGGAGGAAAAAGGAGGTCAGTATTTGGCATATTTCAGGATTAATCTGGATTTCTTGGGGCATTACATAGGGTAAAATCCTTTATTAACCGAATCCCGCCAAATACGGATTAATCTGTTTACTCTTGCACCTCAGGACTCCCGGTAAATTCTTCGCTACACTCTGTTTCCTTTTGATTTTCCTTCATCGACAATACTGGAATACACTTTTGAGGATATTGTCATTATGTTTTGCCACACAGAGAGGCATAACTGATACAAGATTGGTCACATTCATTACTATTACAACGCTACAAATAAAAGAAGGTAACAAGGTAAATTTAACACACATTATCAGGATACCTTTATGAAACAACCTGATTTAATGCAGTAGTAAGATAATTGAAATCATGATAGGCCAGTAAGTCAGAACTCTCTCTCTGTGTTATGAGTAATATTAGCTCGAAGAGAGAAGAGCAGAGGCGGTACTATCGTTTGCATCAAGAACAGTGTGTAACAAGAGGCTCCGACATGACCAGCATAATAACAAAAGACTGAGTTTTGGGGTTCGTTGAGCAGCAGGAGAAACAGCAGGACTTTTAGGAGTGATTTTACTATTTTTTTTTCTTAATTAACTTTATGCCTCTGCCTTCTCTGTCTTCGTGTTCATTGTTATTAGTTACTGTTCCTCCCACACACACAGGTCGGAGTTGCTACGATCTGATCAAAACACGAGAGAGGATCAACCGCCGGTTCATCATCCACGGAAAGGTGTTGAGGACTCGTGATCGCAAGGAGTGTGAGAACGAGTGTGACAGAGAACGACTGTGTAAAGGCTTCAATTACAGGTTACTTTTTATTCTTATTTATTTACTAATATATATATGTAATCATTATCATTAAAGTATATCTATATATTTCGTTTTGATAAAGAGATTAGGGAATGATTTAAGGTAGAAACAGTCGGGGTTAAGTTAGGTTAGCGTTTGAATATTTAATCCTTCTATGAAACAAACTGGGGTGTCTAATTTTCAGGTGATTCAATACCTTTTAGGGGCTGTACCATCTACCAAACACTGCGGCGCTATCGTGGGCGTGGCTGTCCTCAACTATCTATATGTAAACCATCTAAGAAGGACAATGATTCATTAATTCAAGAGAATGAAATTATACATAGATAAGAGACGACAAAAAGGCTTACTCTACAGTGTGCTGTGTCCGCGCTGCCCCTAACTCACCGTCATACTCAAGAAACTCACTTTAAATTTCAACATCGACTGCAGTGGAAGTAATACTGACTGGCAACTTAGTTTACTGTGGGAACACCAAACACGGGATCTAGCTGAATGTTATAGACGCTGCCGTGGGCTCATCTCTTCCCCTTAAGACATATATAATAGTTTAGAGAAGCACTAATTATCTCCCTCGTTATAAGCTTAACCTTGATCTGTTATTACGAGGACGATATACTGTAGTGTTTGCTTCATCTCACAGTAAAGACGTGCCTTCTTAGTCTTAAGCTTCAAGCAAGCTTTAGCAGCGTTTGATTGTCGGTAATACTTAACTTTCGTTTCCAAAAATAATTTTTTTATAAGCTTTCACAACATTTTATTGTGTATATCAAAAGTATGCCAACAGGTTACCTTTTGTTTGCTGTCCTCCCTGATAACATCACCATGAGTTTCATTAGCATATACTCGTGTGTGGTGGTGAACTACATCCGCTAACAGCACAGGCAGCAGCGCGTTCCTACCAGTGAACACAGGCAGCAGTACCCTTGCAGTTCCTACCATAACTCTCATGTTATAAAGAATGTTTAATCCATTATCCGTGTTATAATAAAATTCTATAAGGTGTCAGAAACATGAAAACATATAAATAATAACCATTAATTAACACTGATTAGGGATCTTGTTCCATCTTTGTCAGGTCACGTGTATAAAAAGACTCACTGGTAACTTTGCTCGATGAGTCAGCCCGACTATGTACTGTACTGTCCACTAACGAAAAAACTCACAACAAGAACACAAGAACTTAAACATAGAATGGCCCAAAAGTGTATAACGCTAAAGGGGCAATGTTCAAATATTACTGTAAAAAAAATGGATGAAATAATGAAAATAATAAATCTTTTAGGAGAGAGAAAAAAATAGTAAGAATGGAGAGAATTATCGCTGCGTTATACAAAAAGTGAGACAAAATGTATCGTGGAAGTTATCGTCTCTCTGTAGTCTACGATATTGTCTCTGACGTCGTTACTGAAGATGACACCTGGGTGGATCAAGCCTTCACCATAACACAACTGTACACAAATAACTTAAGGGTTTTGTAGGGGTTTTATGACCTTAGTATGGTGATAGTATGGTGACAGTGTTATGGCATATATAACCACAGTATAGTGACAGTATGGTGACAGTATTATGGCATATATAACCACAGTATAGTGACAGTATGGTGACAGTGTTATGGCATATATAACCACAGTATAGTGACAGTATGGTGATAGTGCTCCGGTATTAATGACTATGGTTTACTACAGGTTCAAGACACAAGGCTATGAACAATACCGAGACAACTGCGAGTTAAGCAGCCAGGACGCCAGCAGCTCTTACGACTTCAACACAGACGAAGATTTTGATTTCTACGAGAAGAAACGCGACTGTTACTAGTAAGGCATTATTCTGTTGGCTGGGAGGTGAAGGAAACAAGCGAAAACTCTATTTAACGGAATGAATGGAGATGAAAGTCCGTTATATCGAGGGTCCGTTAGATGTGAATAGAAACATCCATCTAACGGATTATATGGAGACACATACTGTATATATATATAAGTCCGTTATTAGGGGATTTTGCTGTATATTATTGTCCTTATAAATTACTCTGGTATAATTATATTGCTTTTATTATGAATGTTATCGTCAGGGATATTCTGATTACATTATTATTCATTGTATATGGAAGTAGATGGTGAGTGGCGAAAGTGGGGATATGGTAAGTGATTGTGAGAAATAAGCTGAATCAAAGGAGTAATGATGATATGTATAGTTTACTACTGAAGTCCGTTCGCCTCTCCCCCTGAACCACGAACCCCCGAGATTCAGACTCTTGGCCATAAATGTTTCGGATTCATGAGTCTGAAACTTGGGGTTCGTGGTTCAGTAAGAAAGATCAAACTCAGCACTAAAGTATTGATGAATTATGGTACTTATCAAACTATGATCTCATTCTCTTCATTTATTTGACAGTGGCGGTAGCGGAAGTGGGGGAAGTATCGGAAGTAGCGGAAGTAGTGGAAGTAGTGGAAGTAGCGGCAGGAACGGTAAGCCAAAACTCTGGATAGTTATTATGTAACCTTCATCCACACTATACTGTAATGTGTACACCCTTACATAATACTTAACACTGTGTAAACACTTAGTATGAACCAACTACTAGATCACTAATCCAAATATCAACAGTCACTTATTCGAGTATCTACTGGTAGTCGAATCCATGGAAGCAAATGTTAGTTAAAGTCGATTAATGTTACTGAACGTGTTATACTAAGTTTAGCATAAAAAATTGTCTCGTTGTTTACATAGTATTTTTACATGTGATAATGACAGAAAAAAGGAGATAAATAAAGGCATAGTAAGCAATATTAGTAAAATACAAAGAATAGCGAAGTTTCCCCTTCCGTTTTCTATAATTTACTGACAGGGTAGACTTAAGTAAATTATTTTTACTTTCGGTGCACGTGATCCATATATAGGTCGCCCGTAATGACCTTAGCAGGTGACGTCCAAGAAATCCAATGAACCAACCAGTATTTTCTAATAACCACCACTAAGGAAGAAGAAGACACGAAATTCCCAAGCGCTTTCGTGCCATTCACACCTTCAGGAGGTAACCAGGGACTGTCTGAAGATGTGAATTACACGAAAGCGCTTGGGAATTTCGTTTCTTTCTTTTTACTTAGTGGTTATCAGAATATGCATGGATCCCGTGCCCACAAACTACGTCCTTCATAAACTATCATTGTTTATCAACACAGTACAGTACATTATTCCTACCCCCCTTAAAACCTAACTTTCTCTCAGAGTGTTTCCGCCTGGCTAAGACGGAGGTGGCGCTGGAAGGTCGGGCTGTCCGAAATAGTTTTACCGTGCGTGATATCCGGGAGTGTGAGCGAGAGTGTGAGCGCTCCCGGCGGTACACCTGCAAATCCTTCTCCTTCAGGTAAGTCGTCGTTCGTCTGTGAGTAAACCAACACCACCAGAAGGTTACGTGGCGCGGCGTGTTAGTTCTCGGGGGAGGATGAAGAGAGAAGTATCTCATTGGTTTTTGTTTTCTTCATTGGTAAAGTAGTGATGGGCAATTGCTGTTTGGATGACGTACTGTAGTTAGTTTGGTAGTTAGTTAATGCGCTGTAGTGGTAGACGAGAGTAATGTTTAGTGTAGAGGCTCTTATATATTATACAGTACATGTAGAGTTGGGTTTTGTAGACTGGAAGATGATGCTGTCTACACACACACACCAGCTTACGTGAATGAAACTCGTGAAGAGAAAATAAATTATCACATGACATTACACTTTCCTTCGTAAGACTTGATCTGGTCAGGAGAGGTTGTTTAACTCCATGACACAAATTTCAACACTTCTTTTTTTCTTTTTTTATTCCAAAAGACTTGAATATAATATTTTTTTGTCTAAGTTTAGTTCTTCTGCTCGACTGCTTGTTTATATATATATATATATATATATATATATATATATATATATATATATATATATATATATATATATATATATATATATATATATATATATATATATATATATATATATATATATATATATATATATATATATATATGTATTTTTTTTTTGGATTAACCCATTATGAAATCTGTTGTACATACACACATACACAATAATTATATACGTGTCCCTTTTTGGATGTGATTGTACGTTTGTGTATGTGTGCTCAAGTATACATGTATGTGTAGTTGTATTTGTGTCTACATGGCTATTCATTATAGTAGTGTTTACACAAGCGCTGGCAGGTACAGTAATGACTTCTCGGCAACCGTGAGATTTCCATTAGTGAAACCTTTATATAACGGACTTCTCTCTTCATATAATCCGGTAGATGGAGAATTCATATCTAACACTCTCGATATAAAGGACTTCCCTCTCCATACTGTTCGTTTAATAGAATTTATCTCTAAATTCATGTCACCTTCCAGGCTTTTCTTATAAACTTTTCCTCGCCCCCTGAAACTTTCTATATTGGTCTCTAGTAACACAGGCGCTAGCACTACCTGCTTAGCGTGGTGGTGTTTTTGTGACGGTGTGTCGCAGTAGGTCAGTAATCTGCCGTCTTATAAAAAGTGTTGGTCTGGCCACATGGTCAGCCAGGGAGGGAGGGAGGCTCTAGTGGTGGCGGTGCTCCCATGCCCTGGGGACAAAGTGACTGTCCATATCTTACTCTTCTTCTCTATCGTTTCACTGCTTTATTTTTATGCTATTGTCTTTAAATTCATTTCTCCTGTCACTGTTCTTAAAGTACATAGATGTATTATAAATATACATGGATAACAGGATATTGATTCAAACATTAATAGTAATAATGGATGCCTCCCGTGTAACGAGGATGGCCGGCCCAAGGGCCACCTTGGCATGAATTTGTTTAAGGTGTAGAAGCTGTCGCCAACACAACAACCACACCCTGAGTTAACGAGCTGCATGACCCAGTGTCAAGGAATAGTCCGAGAAGACCGGACAACTCGCCAACTGCACTGGCTAACCATTACCCCGGAACACGATGCGCAAATCGAATAATACCCAGGTCCCCAATTACTGCTGGGTAGACAGAGGCAAATAGCATAAGGCTTCACCCTGCCCAGGGATCGAACCCGGGTCCGCTCGCTTGCGAGGAGAAGATGCTAATCATTACACCACAGGTCGCCAAAGATACAAACATTAATATGACCATGGATAACAAACTCGAGAAAAATTAAGAATTAAAATTGAAATTGAATCGGATTAGTTAGAAGAAAACAACGATAATATAACATGAATTAGCTTTCTGAGTGCTGCCAGGTGGGAGGGTAAGGGAGGTGGAGTGAGGCAGGTAGGAGGGTAAGGGAGGTGGAGTGAGGCAGGTAGGAGGGTAAGGGAGGTGGAGTGAGGTAGGTAGGAGGGTAAGGGAGGTGGAGTGAGGCAGGGAGGAGGGTAAGGGAGGTGGAGTGAGGCAGGTAGGAGGGTAAGGGAGGTGGAGTGAGGCAGGTAGGAGGGTAAGGGAGGTGGAGTGAGGCAGGGAGGAGGGTTAGAGGTGGCCAGGGGTCGGTCAGGATGTAGGTCGCGGATCCCGGAGGTAACTTTCACCAGGTTGTGTTACAGACTTTGGTATGCTCTACTTTTTATAGAGACCTGCGGACTCTATTAAGCTTAAGAATCATTTGCTGTTAATTAATATGAAATAGTATTGATATTTGTGTTAATTGTTAGAAGTAAACTGAATTATCGTCGTCTTAAAGTGACAAGAAAAAGAAGGAATTGGTTCGAGAAGATACAACAGGTGACGGTGATAGTGTGGGGTGTCTGCACAGGCGTCAGTTCTTACGCTAAAACAGGAAAGAAACGGACCATCTCGGGCGATAAATAGCTTAATATTTTACGACAAATAAACCATGTAAGGAACACACAACATATTGATAACATAAACCAAATTTTACAGAGTATAAATCTGAATATTTCTCAGTATTACTCGTGGGAAGAAAAGGGATTATAAATTGATGAGACATTGAGTAATGATTCGTCAACTTGTGGCAATGTTATTGTTACAACTAAAGTTATTTCCAACTCTCATGTCTTAACACCTTTAAAACATGGACTTTTCTACACCTGGCTTGGACTTTTCTACACCTGGCTTGGACTTTTCTACACCTGGCTTGGACTTTTCTACACCTGGCTTGGACTTTTCTACATCTGGCTTGTTTTTTATCTTATTTACTAAACTCTTATATACTTATTCGATAATTATAAAGGGAAGAATGATAGCATGCGACAGTGAACCGTAACATTTCATTTACACTTTATGAAGGATACTTGTATAAACAAATATGATTCTAACCTAACCTAACCTAACCTAACCTAACCTAACCTAACCTAACCTGATTTCAACGTTGAGGTCAGGTTAATAGTAGATCACGGAGTCTTTATGAGTACTGTAGTTAGTTTTAATTAGCATAACGCATTAGGTGTAACTAAGAATATTATTTATCACTATCATTTATGTAGGTGCTTCAGGAGTCTGGATAATTCTTGTGTTGTGATAATTACCAACACCAATAAATAAATAGAAGCGAAAAACTCAATAGTGCTTCAGCAAATGTAGTTTACCAGAGGCTCTTGATATTAAGTAAAGCTTGTTCCTTTCAATAAATTTAAGTAATTAAGAAATAAACAACTTTATTTGGGACGTTGCTTGGGCATGTCTGGCTCCAGTAGTTCGCTCTCTCTCCCTCTCACCCTAACCAGCTCACACCTCACCATGCAGGGACATCCTCGTCTCTTATTTAATCCTGTATTGCCTTTGACGTTACAGGGAGTCATCTGACCGGAATCAAGGCAGAGACGACAGGTAATATTGTATGATTGTTTTTGGTGACGTTTAGTGGCTATACCTCCGTCTACAACACCTTCCGAGCTTCAGCGTACCTCAGTACACTTATTAAATATTTTAATTATCTTCAGCATTACACACACACACATTATATATATATATATATATATATATATATATATATATATATATATATATATATATATATATATATATATATATATATATATATATATATATATATAGGGTGAGGATCACACCAGGTTGGATATATATATAGCGGTCATTCACCTCAGAGAAGAGAATAAGGATCGTGGCTGCCATAATGGTGTACTCACTCATTACTGCGGATAAGAGGTACAAGATAGAGGGCTGTTCTAGCGCAAAGGGCCAGGGGATTGAGGCTAGTCTCTAAGGAGAGTTTGGGGTGGCCAGTAGAAAGTCCCCAACATAAGGAACACTCATTGCCTACGGACTGGCTCCCTCCAGATCACTTGACGCCCCTCTCCAGCATGTCTGAGTCAATCTTCTTTTCCAGTCGGCGTGTTTGCTGTTATTTAGAGGCATTGGTCTAGTTGCTGGGACATAATAGTCTCGCTTGCTCCCGCGACCATTCTAAGTTTTCCAGGAACGATCCTCCCAAGTTCCTCTGATGCAAAGTAGGTCGACATACATACTGGTAGTGCGATCTGGGAGGTTTTGAGGATGCCAGTTCCTGCTTGGCAGAGCTAGAGAGTTGCCTCATCCAACTTGGCGGCCTCCAAGGAGAAGTTCACGGCCTTCGGCAACATGGTTCTATGAAGGTCATCGCGTCTGAAGAAGAACACTACGTCAGCCGAGGCACAGAGACACTTGGTGAGGAGATACAGGTCTTCGTGGGCATCCAGATGACCCATATTTCCTCCACCTTTTACACCGACTACTTTACTTTGGAGGACGACGGAGATCACGTTAGCTCTCAGGAGTGACTCAAGCTGGATGCTGCCTGGCAAGACGTCCCTCTCTTGCCTCGTGGTGTTCTAACCATCTGGGATAACTACACCAAAGTTCCGTCGATTAAGAACCAAATGTTAAGTAACCCCCCCCCCCTCCCCCTTATTAAACCCTCACTTGGTCTTGGGTGGTGTTGACGAGGGACCTTGCTACGTACACACACACACACACAGAGTAAATCTTCAGCTTAGGCCTTAAGGTGTTCGTCGCAGATTATAAACAGTGCACATTGCGTTCTGAAGTATGGAGCTACATACCGTACTGATCTTTGTATAAAGGCATTAGTGTTATTTTGACGTTATAAAGATATCGATAGTTTGAACCATAATTACTGACTGATAACGAACATTCATGGTAAAATTTTCAGTGTTCAATTGTAGTTTTGAATTTTATAAAAACTTATGTAATGTTACAGAAATTATCATTATATTGTGCATTCACAGGTATGACACCAATCCAGGGAGGCGCGAAAACTGCTTCCTAAGTGACCAGGAGTCTCGCGATGTACCTACCTACAACCTTGTGAGAGAACGAGAGAGTGATTTTTACGAGCGACGAATGTATGATAGAGAGTGTAGCGTTGGTAAGTTGTTCTCTAGTAAGTGTAGCGTTACTAAGATGTTCCCTAGTAAGTGTAGCGTTGTCAGGGTGTGTGTGTGTGTGTGTGTGTGTGTGTGTGTGAGAGAGAGAGAGAGAGAGCAAACATAACATTAAGCCAGGTATAGAAAGATAAGACTCATAATCTCCACTCGGTGCTCCACAGACGACAGCGGAGACCAGGGCTACGAGTACTCTTATGGCGAAGGAGAGAATGTGGTTAGTGGGATACGCTGTTACCGCGACCGCTGCAGGGAGGACCGTCAAGGAGGTTACTATTTCTGCGAGACGGACTTCTCTGGCGCCTGGGACTACTGCTGCAGGCCTGATGCGCGCTGTGGCTATTCCCAGGACTATGAAACTCCATGGTAAAATGTCGTACTTTGAGGAGTCATTGGTATTGTTAGCGATATATGACCTTAAGTCACCAAGTGCTAATGGTAATAACAAGATGACATGGTGACAAAAATTATAATTAGATAGACAAGATATAATAAGCTGTCAATAATAATATAAATAAACGAAACTTGGATATAAGATGAAATTAACATCATAGAAACGAAACTTTGGGATTTTACGCATTGTGTATAAACTTTGCGTTACTCAGTTTAGTTTTTAATAAAAAAATATAAATAGTATTTTTTTCCAAGCACGGATTCGGGGCTATGTTATTAACTACTGCTTAAATTATGATCTTAAACATATTTTATTTCCTTATGTCTTGTAAACACGTTGCCATTTAATTCTCTTTAAAGACAAAATCGCATCGAACGCAGAAGAGTTCCATGAGTTTTAGGTTCTTGTTGGACTACTGCCGCCTGCCAGTGTTTTTTGATTCATCTATTGCAATTAACACAAGTCTTTAACTACCTTTTATACCGTATATAAACATATTTCTGGTTCATTTCACGTCTGCTCTCCCGTCTTCGTAGTGAACTGGAGCGTCGATGTGCCTGCTGCTTTACAAATTGTTTCTTTAATATATATTGTTTTTTCATCAAGCATTCTTCAAATTCTAATAATAAGAGAATGTTTAACTTCAGCTAATTATTTCTAAACCATATCCACAACTTAGGAGACCTTCTGACAAATTATACTATTCCTCATCAATGTGAAATGTGGTGTAAAATTTAAGAGTACTGTGTTGCAAATTCCCTAGTCGCAGTGTGTTGAGTTCGATGCTACTTAGGTTTATGGAGTAATGTTCCTTATACATAAATCAACATTCACTTAATAGCTTTTTCTCTGTGCAGGTGCTATGTGGGCAGTGTGGGTCGTGACCAGTGGCGACCATGCACCAAGCAAGGACGAGATAGGGATTACCTGCACTCAGGCTCTCACCCTGAGGCGGGGACTAACCTCACCACCACCGCTGCGCCTCCGACCACATCCTCAATTGAACTCATCGACATAAATATGGGATAGTTCACCTCACAACTTCCTTGCATTTCCTTATACAGAATACAAGATACGTAGCGAGATTTATCCAATGACCAAATTTAAGACGAACTGGGAAATATTTTGTTACTGAGCCAGACAACGGGTTTATCTGGGACTGCCGTAATAAACTTTATAATTTTTAAAGCTTATATACGGTAATTGTCTTTATTAACTCTATCATGGACGGTAAATCTACACCAAAAGTTATATTTTGTTCCTGAATAGATTTTTTTTACTTATTTTTTTTTACCATTTCCCTGAAAGGAAAATTGTTAAAATAGCTTAGAATAATTATGGTATGTTTTTTCGCCTTCTCGCTACCTATGACACAAAGTTGATCTAGTCTTGATAAAGTAAAGTAGTTTCTGCTGTTTCTGTGCGTGAGAGTTTCTTCATCCGTTTTCCTTGGTTGTTAAGCGGGTCAACAACATTCCTGTTGAGCAGTATTGCCAGAAACTCTGATCTGAGCACACACCTCATCAAGGCTTAATAATCTATCTCCCTATCATATTAATGTGTTAGTCCGCTGCTCTAAAGTCAGATTACTTAATAAATTATTTACATTATTTACAAATAAAAAAATCAGGAAAAAACTATTGTTGAAAAAACCAGAAACATTGAAATGTTTTACCACAGGTGTTGAGCGTGTACTGTACATGGTCTGTATTCATTAACACTAAAAATTTACTTTCTCCATCGATTTTTAAAATATTAGAATTATTTAATATCCCATAAATATGTTTGTATCTGCATAGCATTACATGTGGCATTACCAAGAGAAGCAGTGTTCCTTGTGGTAAATTTGAGAACTTAGGAAAGACAAACAATATGACCGTTCTTCCTGCCAATAATATCCACCACAACCTGTGTTAATTTACCACATCCTGTGTATTACAATCCACCGAGTAAACAAAACCTGATCAACAAAAAAGTAACTAGTCGATATGTCAGAGAGGGAGAACAAGTGGCGTAAGGTCGGTCGATATACAACGTCTTATTATGTCAACAAGTTCACTCAATCCTGAATGACAAGAAATTAGGACCTGGTAGTGTGAGCAGGCGCGGCCATCGACCGAGTGACCTGTTTGTTGTGTTAGATCACCCAGGCCAGGCAGCCACCCCTCCCTCCCTCCCTCCCTCCCTCATATTGCTGTGTGTTCCTGTCCCACACCTCTTTACCTGTTCCATATCTCTTCTAGCCTCATACCTCTGTGTACCCATCCCACACCTCTGTTCCAGCCTCACCACACCTCTGTTCCTGCCTCACCACACCTCTGTTCCTGCCTCACCACACCTCTGTTCCTGCCTCACCACACCTCTGTTCCTGCCTCACCACACCTCTGGTCCTGCCTCACCACACCTCTGTTGATCTGTTCCACACACCTGCTTACCCTCTCAGATTCTCATTACGATCCCACCATATACATACACATAAGGACAATGATAAAATATATAAATAAATAACAACAACTATTTCATTTATTAATATAAGTTGTAAATCAAATAGTATTTTTTTTGTTTATGATTCGCTCTATAATATGGTAGAGAGGACAACACTCGATGCTATATACAGGTAAAGGTATGATGACGTATAATTACAACGTGTGCAATCAAGGTAACAGCGGTATCTCAGGAAGGTGCTGTATGTTAACCTTGTATCCTAACGTAACTGATCTCCTTCACAGTTCATGTCGATCGTGTTTACTATATCAGTATTATGTTACAAGTAGTTTACTTTTCTCTCATATAAGAGAACTTGATCATGTCTAGTTTGTGTTTCACGTGACGATTGCACGGTATACTGTAACGAATCCTCCCACCACTATGCGTTACAACCAGTAAACTACATTTTTTTAACGATGTTGTAACGTGTAATATTACTAGTAGTGTCTCTGAAATCTATATCACCTACATGCTTCTTCACGATATTTTGATGTTTTGGCCCCAGAACAACAATATTAACAGCACTTTTAGGGTTTAAGTTATAAAAGGAACATTGACAGTCGAGTGTAAGTCCTGACAGGGAAGGTTGCTCAAGTCAAGTACTCTTCTGTTGATGTGACTTTGACAATATATTTTGGATGGTGTTTCAATATTCCTCTACTGTATTATTAGATTAGATATTACGACACTTAGTGAGATACAATTCTAAGGTTGATTTAAGAGCTGATGCGTGATAGTAATTTGTTTAGTGTAGCTAGGGGATGTACATAGTCCTTTAGTCATAACTGAGACACACAAACTAAAATATTCTCTTTATGCTTGAGTACTGTATGTATTTTAAAGGTCATCATTACCTTACAGGATAAACTGATTAAGCTACAAGTGTCTAAGAGGAGTAATCCGCCTTTAAGGTCTCATGAGGAAGGTTCAGTGACTTAAGATGAAGTAAAGATAATCACTTATATAATGTGGATGAAATTAGCGAACAGGTCGAACAATACACACACACTTAAGTCAATGTTGTCCTCCACATACAGAGAGATGATCATATACCATTACCTGTGTTGTTTTACAGTTTCTCTTGTGTTATTATGTTTACCTAAACCTAACCTAACCAAACCTTGACTGTGATGTTTGTGGTATTATTAAGGTTACATAACAAAGTATAATTATTCCTTTAGGCAATCATAGCCGCCGGAAATAAGATAATAATGCTAAAAAATATTCTTACGTTCTTCTTTGATTAAAAAAATCCTTTGTAATATCTAGTGGCTTTATATTATCCAATAAAAAATAACTTGGCATATATAAAAACAATATTTAATTAAATCCTGATACTGATGTTATCGTCTAGGTTATCGCTATGACTATTCTGTTTATCATTTAACGGCTCATATAAAAATAAACACTCCACAATTATCAGACAGTGTGTTTTAAGCGATACGTTAGCGATCCTATCAGTCATGTGAGCGACGTGAGTGGTGGGGTTAAGAGAGCACTCGGCAGCTACACCACAGATTAATTTTTTGTTATTGTTTATGATCTATTTAACCTGCATCATAGTTACGATTAATGAGCTTTATCTAAAGTATTCGCCTCTCCTCCTGAACCACGAACCCCCGAGATTCAGACTCATGAACCCGAAGCATTTAGGGATAGAGAAATATATCAGTATACTGCTTCGGGTTCACGAGTCTGAATCTTGGAGGTTCGTCGTTCAGGGAGAGAGGTGAACGGACTGTGGTATTTGACTGTACTGTGCACTCATATTAAAGTAATGAGTTCAGAAATTTAAGCTATATGGTATTATTTACTCTCAAGCTCTCTACCACCAAACACGAGCCTTGATGACAGTCTGAATATATATGCTGGAATGTGTGTACACTGAGTTCCTGTTCTACTATAAAAGTCTATGACACACAGTCGCCACAGTCACCACACAGTCACTGAACAACAATCACGTGCTAATGTTACCCTCGCAAGCATGAAAAATACAATACTTATAAAGTGGAAATGACTCGGTCGCCCGGATGCTTAGCGTGACCCCTGGCTGAAAATTGTCCATTAAACACTATCATGTTGTCAGGTGCGCCGTTATCCCTCCCCTCCCCCCAGGCGGCACTTGGAATGATTGTCTTCGTAGTTTTACACAAGGATAAGTTGACTTAGATACCTGTGTCTCAATGACTGATAATATTCCATCGATAACCAACCGGTCACCTAACAACACAAAGTAAAGGTTATTAACAAGAATGATAATAACATTATTATATCCAGAAAATTTTAAAATAATTAATAATACAAGTTGCTATAAAAATCTTCTTGATATAAAAATAATTAGTACTACAAAGAGAGACGTCAGAGGAATGACCGCGACAACACGGGTAAGAACTCTGGTACTACTATACAATACTCTCGGGCCAAGATCAAGGCCCTCACACTGATAACAAAGCACCAGACACGAAGGCGAACACTACTAACATGATCTAAAACTAAGACGCAAACCCTGACACCTTCCGCGAGTGTCCAGATAAATTAATCTTGAACATCTGCGTTAGCTTAGTCAACCGGTTTGTTCTGAATGTATGAGATGAACATTCAGAAATATATGAATTTTCTATACAGGGTCAACAGCTTAAGATGAGTGAACAAAAAAAAGTTAAGATGTGAACATTCGGGAAAAAAGGAAAGTTTTACTCGGGGTCAAAACTTAACAAGAAAGACAAACATGGTAGGAGGAAGAATGTTCATGGTTTCGCTGAGGTTCTTATGAATGATACGCATGTTAAGAATGTACAGATATCCTGGAGAAAGTCGGGAGAATGTTGACGACCAAAATACTGAGAATAAAAACTGGTTGATACAGGTTCTTGAGACACACGGAAAATCGAGTGTCGCATTATCACCTAAATAGAATCAGAGGTGACATCTTATCACTCGCAGTTTTAAACCTCTGACCCTGACGGAGTGAGTGTCTGTCTCACTAAAAAATATCTTGTCTTCTGCTTCACTATCCATTGAGTTATCTCTTATTCTACGTTATTATCTTCCTGTATTTGTCTGTCAATCTCATTATTTGTTTGTTTGTCTTTCTTTCTCTCGTTTCCTCTATTTATTTTTTGTTCGTCTTTCTGGTCATATTTCAGATTCCACAAGTAATGCATATTCATCCCTCTTCCTCTTAACCCGTTCTGTATTCTCTTATAACAAAAAATATACACCGGAAATACATAATTATCAGCATAATTACTAACGTCGGTAATTCCATGCAAATTATAATATATGCAATGAGTGATCACTTTTTTTCATGGCAGGTAAGATTCGCGGTTTCCTTTCAAGGGCACCAGCAACTTAACTCCCAGCCCCGGTTCGTGTTGGGGGGCACTGACACGTTTGATCAGTCGCCGTATCGTCACTACCCATCATCACCTGTGGCCTAAACCTGTTCCTATGAGACTCACGTGACAGTTTCAATAATGGTTCTATTAATAATTTATATAAAGTTTTAAATATTAATGATGAATCTAGGAAAGTGAGACACAAAGGAGAGAAGTGTACAGTAAGTAGGTGGAGGAGAGAGAGAGAGAGAGAGAGAGAGAGAGCTGCTGAAGCCCTGCCGGAAGACACCGCCAGTCCCGCTAGCTGGGTTAAATGTCTGAGTCTTGACACTAAAAGTCGAAAGGCAACGTAGAAGAAAAATAACTCTCTCTCTCTCTCTCTTACTGGTGAGGTGACAACATGGGCTGATTGAGAGTACAGTACTTATTGGGTCTGTTTTAAGCTTCCAGTCCACCATTATTAAACCCAGCAGCACCTGGATAATGGTCTTATTTTGGCTACCGATTTTATAATTCTTTTGGTTAAACAAAATATAAACTCTATATCATGTCTAATGGTGTCTTATGGGTGGTATTAAAACAACAAAAATCATAGTTTTTTGTTGTTATATAAGTCAACTAACTCTCGATTATGTTCCACCTCTCACAGGTAGGTACATCTTTTCATTTACATCATAAAGACCGATGCTTAGAAGATATATACTGAATATTACCGTCTCTTGCCTCCCTGTATACGTTAAAACTCACTCAAATACAACTTCTTGAACCATTATTGCAAAGTCCAGAGGTTTACCATGCAGACTAAAAATAGTTAAGAGCGTATTTTTTTAAGATTATTATAAAAGTTCATTAACATTTATCACCATCAGGTTTTCCTCAGGTGTGGGATGTTCCTCTAGACAACAACCAGGTGATGCGTCTATTCAGGGCTAAATCCAAGCTCGGGGGGCCTTCTCCTTCATTACATGGCCTTAATTTATTAATTTTTTTCACCCTTGTCAAGTGTAAGTTATTCGTCCAGTTGTTTTCAAGCGCTTTTAGGTCCCAATTTACCATTACACCTAGTTACTACGGAGATTGTCGTTAATTCCTTCACTACGGCACACTGTGTTCCTCAGCTCAGAGGGGAACCCGTACACAAGGCGTTAATAATTTTTTTTGAGACATCTATCGGCTGTAAGGAGTCTCGACATGGATTAAACAGTCCCCCATGTTATATTAAGTAACCGGAGAACACTCATATCGCTCAGTCACATAAATTCACAATACTTTCATATTTATCGTAATATATGAAATAAAGTAGAACTAAATCTTTAAAAAAAATACCTAGAAGAAGGTTGGGTTAGGTGTGAATGTAAAAACAACCCTGATAACGAGTATGAAAAAAAAAAGTGATCAAGCGTACCAGAAACACTCGACCCATGTTTTAGCTGGTAACGGTAAATCAGGTTAGAGCAGAGTGTGTACAGTAGGCTTAGCACGGGGTGGAGGTGAGCCTGGTACGTGTTAGCTCCCTCCCTCCCGCTCTCATTCCTCCAGTAACAAGGTCTCGCGTGTGTCATTTCTCTGTTCTCTTGAACCCTAAGAGTTATGAAGTATATTTATCATATTATAAGACTTAGATTATTGTAGTTAAATATAAATCCCCGTTCTTTGACACGCACGCACGCACACAGGCAGGCAGGCAGGCAGGCAACTTTTAGTACATTACACTGTAGAAATATAATGATGTTTCATGTTCACCAGTGTAATTACCTTATATACCGTCTAGTTGGCTGCCTTTGATGAAAGAAAGTAAGGGTGGGTGGGTGTGTGTGGGGGGTTATCATTTAGAAATACATCACCATATACTTGTATCAGAAGCAGTATTAATATTTCTTAATACAAATAATAATTAAAATGTTTTAAAGTTACAAAAAACAAAAACAATGTTCTTTTGTTCCGAAGCCATAAAATGAGTCAATTAAAAAATGCAGGATTTTGAGAGTTACGTTGTATGAATCAGAAATATTGACATTGTTGGAATACTGATTAACTAGCTGGCCAGGTTAGCTGCAGTAGGTGGGAAGGTTACATTGCCTACACAACTCTCTTAATGGCTTATATATTTAAAAAAAAAAGACATAGCGTGTACTTAATTACGTTCATAGCAAAGTTTATGAGATATGCAGCAGGTAATCGTTCATATGACTAGTTATTGCTGTGTACAATGGTTAGTGGCACAGATAGGAAGGTTTCAGAGCGTGTGGATATAATCAACCTATATATCTGAGACTTAACGACAACTTATAATGTATTCAACGACTTTATTTTTTGGTTAGGAAAGTCTACAAATAAATTAATCAATGAAAGATAAACGATTTGTAATATTTGAATCCTTATACCTCTCTATTCGTCTTTCTTTTTATCGTTTATCACTGACATTCACAATCCATTCAGACATGTAAAAAAAAAAAGCAACTAAAAACTTTCATTATAAATAAGAAACTAATGGTGCCACAGATGAGAGACAACCCTGCATGGGGAGAGGGTTCGTCGTCCACCCCAAACTGGTATGTGTGAGAAGCTTATAATAATAAGTATTTCCAATCACATCTCGTACCCAAACTTTCATGTCAATCTTCACACACTCACTGACCTAGAGAGAGAGAGAGAGAGTGTGTGAAGAGAGAGTGTAATTCTTGATTTTGTTGTTTAATAAGATTTCGGTATTTTTTTTTTAGAATCAACGTTACTGTTCTCTCTCTCTCTCTCTCTCTCTCTCTCTCTCTCTCTCTCTCTCTCTCATATAAAGGAAACTTGGTGGAGGTGAGAACGGCAACAGGAGGAGAAAGTCGTGTTGGTATCTTCTCTTGGGGTTTGTGTACCTTCCAGGAGGGTACAACCAACTGTCTGGAATTCTTTTAGAGAGAGAGAAAGAGAGGGAGGGATTAGGGTAAGTTAGGTTAGGGTGTGTTGGGTGTGTTTTGACCATTATCCTCTTAGATCCTTGAGTGTGGTAAGAGGTACGAACCAATTGGTGTCACACTGCCGGGAGGAAAAAGTAACATTTCATTACGACGCAGTTCCTGGTAGAGCCATAGCCTTTATGAAGAGTTAACTATTACTCCTCTTTCTACCCCTACAACTCCCTGCCACTGAGCCTTTCTTCACCCCCTACCACTTGCCAGTTTATTATTATTACTACCCTGACTCGGTAAGATTATTCAAGTATTGTTTTGCCTAAGTCCCATTGGCTGGCTGTTGTTCAGTTTAGATTTTGATCAAGTGACCTGACGGGGAATATTGATCCAGAATTTCCTATCTTTAATGAGGCGAGTGAGAATTAATATAAATTCTTTCATAGATTTGGAAAAAATCATAAAATAGTGGATAAAACCTCTTAATTGTTTTAGTTCTCCATCAGAATAAGGAGAGTTAAATGTTGTATTATTAAAGTATATTAAGGTTATTTTATTACACGTGTTAAAGTTAGGTGTACCAGAACCACATATTCGTGAAAAAATTCCTATTGTATATGAACCAATTTTCTTCTAATATATTGCATATATATATAAAGTAGTTTGGGAGAGTTAAGATGATGGTAACAGCCAAGCACAAACAACAGGTGGTGGCTGGGAGAGCAGTGCACCTTACAGGACATACACACGTACAACGGTTAGCTTAGCCCGCCCGCCCGGAAGAGAAAGCTCCCAGGTAAGATGAAGCAATATTACAAACTGTCAAGCTATTTCTCTGAAAACTTTCCACTTGTTTGACTTTATGCAAAACAATACATTCACACTGAGTCTCTTTCTTATTTTGGGCTAAATTTTATGTAAGTTACCCATCGAATTAGTAAACTAAACAAGTCTATTCACGACCCAAGTATGCGGAATCGTTTGCAGTACTGAGTTGTATTGAGCTGTGATTGGCCGGCCTCGAGCGGGTGTTGGACGTTTGCCATGTGAGACGGAGGAGCTGAGCTGCCCTCCAGTAGGTCAGATCCGCCGCAGCCATTGCCAAGGCCACACTCGCTCTCCTACGTCTCCAGGGATCCTTCGGCTATAAAGCGTCTACTGTGACTGACACTGTAGTGAGAATATCTATGTGGACAGTGTCATCATATTATGTATTATAAACAAACCACGTAATGTAAGCTACAGTGATTCTTATAAATTGTTAACGTTAAACATTAGCAATGTGGCTACTGATACAAACTGTGACTCTTGTGGTGGTGATTGGTGTCTCAGCTTCGTCAACCATCGTCCCTCCATCAACGACTGTATCCTCACCATCTACGACCCCACCAGTTTCATCAACGACCACCGTCCCTCCATCAACGACTGTATCCTCACCATCTACGACCCCACCAGTTTCATCAACGACCACCGGCCCTTCATCTACGACCCCAGTTTCCACTACAGTCTCGTCACCTGCCGTATCTTCAACAGAGGTACAGGAATCTGAGGAGGCCTTCGTCCTACCCAGCGCCTCAGTTGGGCAGATGGAGACTGTTGCTATCATCGAAGAAGTTGACGATGACTGGACAGACGACAGTGTGCCTCACGAGAACACTGAACATGTGAAGAACAATGGAGAACACGGCGATGAAGTTTATGATGACTATTATTATGATTACAGTGATTTAGAAGAATGGGATGATTATACCTACGAAGATTACCCACACGTTGAAGATAATTTGACACTGTTTGCTCAAAATGACACCGAGATTCTCACCAACGATACGGAATCTCTTAATTTCGACAAGGACATCGTTATTAACAAAGACAATCTACTTCCCATCCTCAAGACTATCGTCCTGGCTTACACTCACAAGCAAACCCCATCATACAAAGAAATCCTGAAGGCCGGTGGAATTAGCGCCCTTAAGACCTCCCTCAATTACTTCGGGAAGGAGAAACTTGGTCTCAACCTTCTCACACTTGCAAAGAAACTGACAGAAATCATGAACGACGATGAATTAAGTAAAGACGAATCGTCAGAAGTCTTGAGTAAACTGGCAGAGGATTATCTTGCTCGTCATCGTTTTAAGTTAGTGTTACCAGAGAGTGTGCTGCTTCATCAAGAGGAGATGGAGGAGTTTATGTTGAGGAAGATACAATCAGAGTTGGAAGGTCGAGCTGCCACTCCTGACACCGAGTTGAGTATGGTTATGCCACGAGCAGATCCCGCAGTATCCTCCGTAGTCAGTGAGTTGATTTTATTTTCTCTGTTTTCTAATTAATGCGTCTCCGCTTGACAGGTGTTATACATATATTTTATTATTAACGAGTCGAATAAAAGTGTGCAGAATATTATTTCAATATTCATAAAGTTTACTAAATAATGTTAACAGATTAATAAGGTTTAAAGTGAATTATTGGTACAGCTATCATTGAAATCCAACAACATTGTCTTCCATACCTAGTCAACGTGACCTAACCTAACCTAACCTAACCTAAGCTCAGTATATTAATGTTTAACGTGTTCTTAATATTTCCCCGCCAGACTAACAGTACTGACATAATGTAATTGTGAACCATTACAGTTAACTGACGTGGATAACAGCTTTGTTAACCTTAGTGCACAAAATGTTTAAGCTTTAAACCTTAGTAAGCTGTTAGCTCTCTTAAGCATACAGTGGCTTAAACAACTACCTATATTAAATTGTGTTGAGACAATATGACACAATGGACGAAGAATTTTGACAACCCTACCGAGACAACAGGAGTCACAGTGTTCATTCTGAAATTCATCGATCACCCCAAGTACAGATAGTTTTTTGACTGACTGTAGATATATGTCAGGCCACTAGAGAGAAAAAAGCCAAACAATCATAAAATAATAATTGACTTTTATGGAAAATAGGGATAACTTTTCCTTTTATTACAACAACTAAAGGGAAATAAATGTGTTTAAGATAATACGTTGTTTAATACGAGACGTTGTTTACCATCACAGGATAGATAAATTATACCCAAATTAGGTTAGGTTAGGTTAGGTTCCCTATGAAACTCTTCATTTATATAAATTTGGGCGACCTACTTGATTGCCTATGGCCAGTCAGAAGTTTTTCCCACAAAAGAACTATACAGAGGTTAGGTTAGGTTAGTCTTGTGGGAAGCTATTTCGTTTTATGTATAATGCTGATACTCATGATCGTTTATGACCGGGTAGAATAAATAAACAGGTGTACGTGATCCAGGTATATGTTGATAGCCAGCAAGGAAAAAGAAAACACGAAATTCCCCTGATGATGAAGGTGTGTGTGTGTGTGTGGGGGGGGGGGGTGTGTATGTATGTATGTGTGTGTGTATGTGTGTGTATGTGTGTCTTATGTTCTTTTCTTGGTTTAATTAAGTCTTTAAATTATTTCATCATATCCTTCCTCAGCATTTGGTACCTGGTCATGGCTGGCGCTGCTCGGTGGCCTCGTATCAATCCCTTACTTCTTGACCGACGTTACGCCTGAGGCTCGAGTGGATAACCCGGTAAGAAGACCCGCGCCACACCTCCGGCCTCCGGGTCTTCCTTTCTTCCGTACTCAACAACTGAGGAGAGATGAACAAGAACCGTCGCCGCAAAACCAACATCTTGACCAGGAATTTATAGATTATCAGAAGAATTATGCACAGTGGTACTTCCAATGGTACCTGAGATACAAGGATTATTATGACAAGAATTATCCTTTTGATTCTAAGACTCCTCAACAACAAGTAGTTCCCCAGAATGTTAATGGTGCTACTCCTGGTAAAGGTGTTACTCCTTTACTCAAGCCGCCGCCACCACTAAGGGTACAAGGCGCAAGAACGGATACTAATAGACCTCTCAGAAAGCCTTTAAATCCTCAACAGAAACGTCGTCGACAACCATCACAAAAGCCTCGACGTCAGCCACAGAAACCACATGCTCCTAAACGTCCTAGGATCCAGTCAGGTCGCCCACGTCCTCCTCAACGTCCTTCTGTCCACCGAGTTCCTCCTCCAGGACCCGTCAGTGTTCAACCCCAAATTCCTCACCACTCTGGTACCAATGTTGTTAGTAGTAGTGCAGGAGATAACACTAACACATTTGGGACGTTCCAGAGAGAAGGAAATAATGGAGGAAGTCATTTCCAAGTTTTCCATGGACCAGAAGTCGCGGTCCCTACTACCACTGCCGCGACACCGACCCGCAGAGTACCTAGTCCCCAGCCTGTGTACATTCACACGACACAAAGTACTCTTCCTAACACAGAAAGAGGCTTTAAACCCATCATCAAACCAGATACTCCAGTAGTGGAAAACCCCAATGTAAAGAGACAGACTGTTAGCGAATCTTCACCAGTACCCAAAGAGCTTAAATCAGGCTTCAGACCTCCCAAACAGGAGACGGTGCTGCCAAAGAACAAACCGACTCTCATTCCTAAAATAAAACCACAAGCCGTGCCAGCAGCACAGACAAATTCAGGAGGTTTTAAACCCATCCCTGTCCCTAATGAGACAGGCAACACGGATCTTGAGACAAGTACACGAAAAATATCAACCGTCACATCTAGTAAGTAACGTCCATTACAGTGGTTCAAACTATGATACTAAGACAAATCGACTTCTTGAGCGTGTCTTTATTTTAATTTTTTTAAATACTTCTTGTCTGCAATAATTTCAACTTCAATCAACAGCTAGAGTGATTCTGATGTCTTGATAAAACGGTATAAGAATGATCATTTATTATGTAATTCATTAAACATTATAATTATCTATTTTCTTCCCGTACAAGTGATTTACTTTAACACCTGTCTTCTGTGTATATGAACAGGTGTGTTTAAGACCTCTCCAAAACTGAAGGTACCCACCACGCCCCATCCTGCCATCTTCTTCAGGACTGCTACACGAAAGTCTGTACGGGTGGTGACATCATCATCCGTCGTAACTCAGCCCACCATTTCCTCAGGCAATACTCTACCCGAGTTAAGGCGGCCTCCGCGCCACCAGGAGTCACTGCAGTCACCTACACAAGAGCTCCCCAATGTAAGTAAAAATCTCGTAATGGAATATAACCTTTAGTGCAAAGTAACACTCATCTACCTATGTTAAGAAGAGACTTGAATCACGTAGGACATCAATTATATTAAATTCATGATATTATGTACAGACACTCAATAAACTACATATACAAAATTGCCTTGAAAAAATATGACACAACGAACGAAGGATTTTGACAACCTTAAAGAGACAACAGGAGTAACAGTGTTCATTCTGGAACTCATCGATCACCCCAAGTACAGATAGTTATTTTGAGTGACTGTACTTCAATTCCCGTGTAAGTATTCTCCTCTCTTGCAGTCACAGAAGCCACAGGAAGTAATCGCAGCAACACCACAGCCTGTTAATGCCCACATAGTGAATACAGAGCAACAGTCTCTTCTACGACACACAGGTAACAATGGCTTCGTGAGGACTAACGTACCTGCCTCTATCACGGTGGTAGATCATCGACGGGCCCAAGTAAGTTTCCCGTTATCACTGTAGTAGAAATTTACTAAACAAATAATTCTCTCTTTATATATATGGTTTATTAGTGATATGGTATTTTAACAATAATTTTTTTTTCAAGGGATTCGGGTTAGGCGCGAGACCTGAAGCACAAGTCACCCCCCCCTCCTCCTCCACCCCAGTCCCGGTTTACGCCCTTGATCCGTTTTATGGCCCGAGGCTCTCACGCATCGATTTCATCTTCGACGAACTGAAGTTGAAAGAAGAAGGTTGTCGGGAACAGGTAAAGTTCGCTTGCATATTGTATGTAATTAAAATGAGCTTTTTTGACACACACATACATGCACGCACACACGCACGCGCACACACACACACACACACACATACATGCACGCAGACACACACACACACGCAGACACACACACACACCACTTCTTGGTTTATATTATTATGACAATTAAATTTATTTCTTATTTGGTAAATTTTTTTTGTTTCATCAAAGATGTTGTTTCACATTACGTTAGGGTTGGTAAGGTTAGGTTAGTAATGATGCTATTCACATAATAGCTTTTAATTATGATTAAGTACATGATTATCACTCACCTCTCCTCCTGAACTATGAACCCAGAGATTCAGACTCACGAACCCGAAGTAGTAAACACTGAGACATTTATTCTCTCCATAAATGTTCCGGATTCGTGAGTCTGAATCTCTGGGTTCATAGTTCAGGAGGAGAGGCGACAGGAACTTGTGTAGGGTGACTAAAATATTCAGTATATAAGTGGGAAGAAGGTAATAATGACTATATCGTTAATATTTGTTTACGTTGACAGGTTGTGTGTAATATATACAGGAACCCCGAGGTGTATATTCCTCTCAGTGACCTCCTCTCCCGCCAGCTGACAGTGTGAGTGTCTGGGTTACTCTCTCTCTCTCTCTCTCTCTCTCTCTCTCTCCTTATATTAACTCCTTCACGATATATTACCAAGAAATAATTACCAGTTAGTGCTTGGAAATATATAATTAATTTTTTATAAAGACCAGAAACTTTTTATTTATTTTTTGCTGTATTTTGTCACCCAAGAAAGACTCCGGGTTAAACAAGGATAAATATCTCTTACGGATCGGTAAATAAAAACTCTTTAAATCCTTGTGTTTGATTTTTTATTAACTTTTATCGATCTAAAAATAGTTATATGCATCATAAATTGAATTAATATTACATTAACGAGGGAACTAAACCGTATCCAGTACATGAAACAATTGTTTATATACAGTTTGGTTAATATTCTCTGTAAAATTATGATTACTTTTATTATTTAATTTCTGGTATTATTTGTTATTGATGATGTTGTTGATATATTTCAGGACACTAGAGCAGCTTCAGAGACCTAAGGTGGCTGATGAAAGGATCCTTCGCTTCTTCCGGTACCTGAAGGCGGCGCGGGAGGGCCAAGACGGGTCTGACTGTGGGATAAAATACCCGGAATGCCGCATAGACACGACCACCTTCTCCCACAAACCTATCTTGAACGCCTTCCAGAAAGTCTCACTCCTTATGGACGCCGCGTCTAGTTAACAACCTCAACCCTTCTTCAGTCTCAACTCTTCAGGACTCCGTTGAGGTTGAACTATATCGATATCTCAAGAAACCGGGATATTTGCATGAACTATTGCCAAAGTTGACTGGCACGTTACTGTCGAATGTAAACCTGCTGCCGGAAACGGTAGAGGACAGCAGAATGAGAAGTGATATGAAACATAAGCTAAGGTCGGGCCTCGGTATTGTTACGACAACAGAACGTTAATTCTTCTTCTTTGGTGTTTTATGTGTGTTATGCTTTAATCTGAACAAAAAGTACAATATTTCCCCTCTTGTAAACATCATTGGCTCCTTTTCGTATATAGTGTATAAAGGCAGACAGAGGAGGATAGCAACAGCTGGCCAGCAGGTCTTGACCGTGGCTCTTCTCGTGTGTCACCCGCGGTCAAATATTGAGGTCACAACACTGGCCACTTTTTTTTTTCGTTGCCGGACAAACCTGTTACGGCAAACCTTAATTCTGACCCAGCAGCTAACTCGGGGAGAGTCAAGTGGTGAAAGGCAAGTTTTTCCTACTTGTGCAAAAAAAAGAAGAAAAAAACAGCTGAATAAACGTGAAGAGTTTAGGTTATACTGTAGGCGGGGAGCGACTCGAGGCGAACTTTCAAAACCGGCTTAGAATCTCATCAACTCGGCGAGAATAGTTACTCATCTTGTTCAGGAATGTCAGAACTGAACAACAGTAAGTGTAAAGTGTTACTGCACACGGGATGAACCTAGATTCTCACTGACGTCTTCCGCTACTGGAGAGAAACTTTGAAGGTTATTAACCTTCTCATACAAGTCCCTTGATATCTAGTTCACCAGCAGGCAGTTTAAACTCTCTCTCGGTGCTCTGTGACGATAGGTCTACCACTTCCTTATGTTAACGATACCAAGTACTATAACTATTGCTCTTGAGGTGAAAAGTTTGCATTGTAAGAAAAATAGTTTCACAATTAGAAAACATTGATGAAGACTAAACGATCTTAGATGTTAATAAGCGAAGTTAAGGCGATGCTTGACCTAGATACACTCCCTACCTGTTGCCAAACCTATCCACAAGTTTGTGCTACTTAGGTTTAGTTTCACTCTGAAGCATAAGTATAAATCATAGACTACCGGAATAAGTTTCTATATACATTCTCATCTGATAGTTAATACGTATGTTACTGAGTGTTATCTGATATAAACTTCATAAACTATGGGATTAGAATTATCCTTCTCGTCTTGTGATATATAAGTAAAACATGGTATCATAATAAGTGTGTGTGTGTGTATGTGTGTGTGTGTGTGTGGATAAGCCAAATCAAAACAAGAAAGAAAACGGTGAATCAGCTCGAATGACGCAAAAACAAGAAAGAAAACGGTGAATCAGCTCCAATGACGCAACTTTAGTGCGTCAGCGTTACAACACACACACACACACACATATTACTTCTATTACTCAGGTGTTCAGTCTGTGTGTTGTTGTTGTTGTCATCACGTGTGTATTATTACCAAACATTAGCCGGGACTCAGGCCTCTGCTTCAGTCAGTTCTCTCGGTCTCCTTATCACGTTTCTTCTCTCCTTGAATTATTTATTGTATTTATTTATTATACATTAACTGATTTATTTATTTATACAATATACAATAAATTGATTTTCTTAATTGAATATGTGCTTCCTCCCTTGCCTATTTATGTTGATATATCTGGTAGAATGAATTAGTGTGTGTGTGTGTGTGTGTGTGTGTGTGTGTGTGTGTGTGTGTGTGTTTTCATGCACCAAATGTAAAAATGTACCAGAAAAAACCCAGAAAAATACAAACGAAGAAAAAATCAAACAAGAAGATTCTCAAACTTATTAAACTCTCTCTATATCTCCCACGAGTCCCAATTATCTCCCATGAATCCCAATTATCTCCCATGAGCTCCAATTATCTCCCACGAGTCCCAATTATCCCCCATTATCCCCCATGAGTCCCAATTATCCCCCATTAACCCCACTATGCCATATGTTCCACTCGTCCGTTTAACCTTTCCATTCATAATACTCATCCATTCCATTCCTTGTCTCCAAACAGTCCCATGCACTTTCCCACCTGTCCCATTGCTTCCTACCCAGGGTGGGGATAGGGCGGGGCGGGGCGGGGGGAATGTTGTGCATGTGTTGAAAGTCAGATGTACTCACAATATATCAAGAAGGTATTTTTAAATAAGTTCAAAGAAATCATGAAAAAGTGGGTCATGTGTAGTCACTGTTCTTTATACATATTAGTATACTGTATATTACACATATATCGCTTTCTGTTATTCACTTGGTTCAGTTTATCATCGTAAGTTTATATTTGTCTTCTGAAATAGTCGTAATTATATGTTAGTTAGAATCCCACCTGTGTAGATTCACCTCATTGTTTTCTTCACTCTGCATCGTCAGGTAGAATAAGTTACCTGGGTATTCTAATTCTTTTTAAAACGTTCACGGGTTAATAAATTTGAATAGCAGTAATTTTGTCACATCTGCGATATAATTATTATCCACGAGATAACCACCTCTGTTGGGTCTCCTGCCTCTGTTCAGTACAACCACAACGTGCACTATTTTTTTTTAACACTTTATTGTGTCATTTTCACCACAGCGACGTGCTAGCTGTTGAGAGTGTAGGACTGTAGGTCATGCACCGCCACCACCACCACACCCTTCGTCTGCTACATACACCTGCTGCAGTTCTCTTCCTGTATACACTACAGGATGTTATCAAGCCTCATCTTACCTCAATACACTCCGTTCTCCACACTTCTCTATCTCACCCAACTGTATCCTACATCTTACACCACAACACTTTTCAAACATAACCCCACCTGACCTGGCCTCACCGTAAACCACCTTCTCCATAGTTAACTCTTTTCACTCCAAGTCACTTGACTACAATGGAATTACAGAATAAAGGAGAAGAAACAAAAAACAGGTCCTCGTTCTATCTCACCTTACCCCCACCTGGTTCGTCTATACACATCCCTGATCACACCACACACGAGAACATTCACAACTATACCTTGCCCCACCACATACCTACTGCCCCGTCCTCACCGCAACCCAGCCTCGTCCCCAATCTTCCATCCCTACCGCCCCTCCCCACCCCACTCACAAGGTCAGACCGTCAGAGAGGAGGCTTGGTGATGCCAGGTTCAGTAGGCCAGTAGGTCTGCACGGGGAGGTGCGCTGAACTCACCAGCACAAGCCACCGCGCTCCATCCAGCGTCAAGAGACTCACTACTAAAGTTTTAGCCCGCCAAATGATGCTTACTTTTCTTGTTCTTTTACTGTTACAATATTATTTCTTCTCCTGTTACTGCCATCCATCCTCCCTCTTCTTTAATACATACAGTAAACATATCCGCTCCAGCTCCTGCTATACTGAGGTGAAGGTAAGTGAAGGTGGCAACACTTGTATCCCCCACCAGCTGCTTACTGTCCTTCACGAGGTCAGTGTTCTTCAGTCTGGACGCTTGTTATCGGACCTACAGTATATGCCTGCGGTGCCCTGTTGTCAGACTTCTCTTGATGACAACATTTACTTGGTTGGGCCTCGCATGCCAACACCTAGAATTTTCACATTCGAGGGAGAGGCTGCCGTATTTGCCTGCCTGTTCGTGGGTTCCATAGACATAAGAACATAAGAATGGAGGAAACTGCAGCGGGCCTATTGGCCCATACTGGGCAGTCCCGTTTATACCCAACCCCTATTGCTCATATAAGCATCCAACCTATGTTTGAAGCTATTCAGCATATTCGAGTTAATGATGATATTTGGTAACTTGTTCCATTCATCCACTACTCGACAGGTCGTTAGGGACAATAAAGATGCAACACATCTTATACTAAACCTTCTGGAAGCAAGGAAATAAGGCCGGCACTGCACTCGTTAGCCTCCACCTCCTGAACTGTAAAGTTAGTTACTTATTTACAACTGGGTGAACTTGGCGTGACTCGAGATCAAACCAACTCCCCTCAAGACAGGAAACGAATGCCGTATCCTCTTGGGCGCCTCACCACCGACTATGATTAACACTATATTAAATTTGTCGTCTTATTTCTTTTCAGTTGTACTAAACTAAAGTAACTGTAGGTCACTGAGACTTCTGTTTATTGATTATATTTTCATCATACGTTTTGCCATCATGTAGACTATTTTATTTAAGTTCTGTCCCTATATAGATAATATTAACAATAACACTAATATGAAATACAAGTCTGGAGTTAACTTTTAATATATGATGGTTTAATAACGAGATAATTTAGTGAAGAGGGATATGTATGTATGTAGGGAGACGTTCTCTAGTTCCACAGATGAACAACTCCTTCCTTTCCTAAAATCCATCCTAATATCTCCCCTTTGTTAAATCATTTCACTAAAAACACCATCTGTGCCTCCTGATAAAACCAAAACAAACAAAGTTAATGATCCAGTACACTCATTCGTACACGCCTAAGAGGTAAAGTATCGGTCCGTCAGGTCTTAACTTTTAGTGAATCCAAGATGAAAAACTGCAGTGTTTACTGAAGGTCTGTTAAAGGTCACTTAATTTATTGAGTAGTGGCGCTAAGATTAGATTAGGTTAGGTTAATGTGATCTATTGTATTTCTATATAATCGATAATCATCTACTTCATATTAGCTATTTTTTGCACAATAAACACTGAAGCTACAAGAGATTACAGAACACATTGGGATTTGTATACATTTAAGTTTGTATATATTAAACCGTATCAACTTTGTGAATAATATAGAAAATGATAACTCATAATGCATCCACACGACACACACTAAAGTATGTCATATATTATGGACTATGATGACACCTCCTTCACTACTCGTAAATTAACACCGGTTGTGGCAACACTGTCTGACGTCACAATGTCCCAGTGAGGTTTGTCGAGTGAATTAATTATTAAGGAGAGTGTCTTATGACCACCCTCCCACCTCACCTCCGCTGTCCTGACACACTGTTCATGGAGTGCGCCCAAACCATGAACACTATTCGTATAGACCTGACCTGACCTAACGTAAATGTGAATACGAAGGACACGGCAACCTTTTGAATACGATGGTTTAACCCTTTGAGGACGATGGTTTAATCTTTTGAGGACGATGGTTTAACCCTTTGAGGACGATGGCTTAACCCTTTGAGGACGATGGTTTAATCTTTTGAGGACAATGGTTTAACCCTTTGAGGACGATGGCTTAACCCTTTGAGGACGATGGTTTAATCTTTTGAGGACGATGGTTTAATCTTTTGAGGACGATGGCTTAACCCTTTGAGGAAGATGGTTTATCTTTTGAGGACGATGGTTTAACCCTTTGAGGACGATGGTTTAAACCCCGAGGACTCGAGAGGTTAAGCAATGTCTTTAAGTTATACGGTTGCATAATGAAAATGGTCAAGGCATTAACTCACAACTAATGCATTTTGAATATCACCACAAAACTGCAAACATCATATAAACCGGACAAGTTTATTTTCATTGACGTAAATAAACCGTAAAAAAGGCATAAACAATAAAACCCTCAGCATTGTGTTAGACAGCATGCATTTTTTACACTCCAGCTAATGCCAGCTTAATATTTAAAACTGATTGTCGTTGAAAACTGAAAAGTTATTGTTTCTCCCCTTTCTTTCTCTCTCCCTCTCCACAGGGTGACTCACTACGTCATCCAGAGATCAATACATTCCAATGCATTTGCGCGATGTTTTATATTGATATTCTAAAACTAAGAGAATGAAGATAATCGCGATAACTATTATTTCCTTCGAAAATCTGTAACACCTCTAACTTCAGCGTAAAACAAAACATACAACTCACACATAAGTCTTCACAAGGACATACAAAGTAACAGTGTATGTTGATATTTGGGCTATGAGCAGATATCGGCTAAAGTGTTATCCGCACAGTTACTGCCTGGTGACATTAGCGCCGATAAGGGGGGCGGGTCAGTGTGCAGAGCGCCGCTGACGGGGGTACATGTCGTGTCTCCTGATCTTCGTGTAATCTGCTTCTGCTGCTGTTTTTACGGTGTATCTTGTTATTTAGATTATAACTGTCTGCTTCTAGGATTATAGCTGTGTCTGCTGCTGGGACTAAAGCTGTGTCTGCTGCTGGGACTATAGCTGTGCATACTAATACGTCTAGTCTATAGCCTTGCCTACTGTTGAGTCCAATTCTGTGGTCATCGTTGCGTTTGATTCTGCACTACTTCTGAGCCTTCTGCTGGGACTGCCAACATGTCTTCTGTGACTGCTGTTCAACCTACAATAGAACCTGCTTGCCTTTCTTTATGATTGTTTCGTCTAATTTTGTGGTTGTTGTCTTGACTGCTTCTTTACTTACTGGCTTGAGTTACAACTTAGGGTCGTTATTGCGACTACTATTGCCCCTACTGCCATGATCGCCGTTATGTCTTGGACTATGCCTCTGGAAGACACTATAATAAGGAAGCAGTTGTGACTCTGTTAGTGAATGGATATGTAGTGTTATTGAAATGCATGAAAAACACAATAAGCAAATTGCAGTGCGGCCAGCAACCACGAGGGTCCACACAAGAGTGAAGGCCAGCCAATCCACCGTCTACCGCCTCACCTGTTACATTATTTACCCGATACTTGTGTGAGGTAAGATTAGTATATGTGGATATGTTATTTATCCGATATGTTGGACCAGTATTGTATCGATTCTAGTTAGTCTCGTTTAATGATATATTAATTTAGCCAAGAGGAATAAGAAGTCATCTTTCATAGATCCTAATCAAACACTTTCAGAAAATGAATGTAATAATAGTTTAAAACTGTATATATACACAATAACCAATTTAGTCATAATGAACTGATACTACAAAAAGAATGAAGAGAGAATTAGATAAAATTACACGTGATTAATTATGAACACAATATCCTGCAGAGCTTCGCTAATGATCCTCATCAGCGGGAGAAATTATATATTTTCCCCAAGACTAAAAATTTCAGAGAAAGTAGAGTAAAGGTTATAGTTGGCGTCATAGTTCAGTAGATGGCGGTGTTTGTGCTCTAATAGTCACCTGTCTAGTTCACCAATTTCTCTGTCTACTCGGTCGACAATTGTTAACACGGAACAATGGAAGCGACGGGAACAATGAGGTGGTTGCCAGGTGAGAGAGAGAGAGAGAGAGAGAGAGAGAGAGAGAGAGAGAGAGAGGACGTTAACCCAGTGAGGAGGTTTAACGTAACCCCAGCAGCGGCAGTAGTGTGTGATGCCTGATATCTTAGTCAACACTATATGAGGTTAAAAAAACCAATCAGCTTTGACTCTGCTGTTTCACATACTTAACACAGGGTAATTATTTTATTATTATTCAAGAAATCTAAATACACCCTTTAGTGATTCATTAGCAGTTAGTTCTTTCAATAAATTAGAATATTTATCCACAACAACTAAAAATTCGCTTTAAACTAGAATGAAAACATAAGAATCGTTGTTTTTTTGTCACCCTACATTACGCTCGAATCAGGTTTAGTTATACTCTAGTGGGTTAAAGTACCTCTCCACCTATACCGCCACACTACAATGAGTTGGTCACACTTCTCTATATTTCTTTTGTTCACCGTACTACCTACCCTCTCACCCTCCTTCGTTTTTCTCCTTTCCTCCTTTATTCTCTCCCTCCTCCTTTCCACCCCTCTCTCCTTACTACCTTTCCTCTCTTCACTCTCCCTCTCTCTCCTCCCTCCTTATCGGTCTTATCTTTATCTCCCTCGATCTCCCTATCCTTCATTACAGACACCCAGCGTGAGGTATCGTCTGCGCTTGGAGAAGTGAGAGTGACTGAGGGCGGATACGTCTAGATAACAAACTATTTTAGTATATTGCAATCAGACCCGCATCCTGCCACGGTACACCCTGGCTCCACGCACCCTATCTCGGTACACCCTGGCCCTACGCACCTTATCTCGATACACCCTGACCCTACGCACCCTACCCTAGTTCACCCTGGCCCCAACTGGTTCCATACACCCTAGGTTTATTCACCCTGACTCCGTAATTTATGGCACCCTGCATCCTCGTTCTACGCACCCTGTTCTCCCTGGTGTTGTTCTCCCTGGTGTTGTTCTCCCTGGTGTTATTCTCCCTGGTGTTGTTCTCCCTGGGGGTATTCTCCTTGGTGGTATTCTCCATGGTGTTGTTCTCCTTGGTGGTATTCTCCCTGGTGTTGTTCTCCTTGGTGGCGTTCTCCATGGTGTTATTCTCCCTGGTGTTATTCTCCCTGGTGTTGTTCTCCTTGGTGGCGTTCTCCCTGGTGTTGTTCTCCCTGGTGTTGTTACCTTGGTGGTATTCTCCCTGGTGTTAATCTCCCTGGTGTTATTCTCCTTGGTGTTGTTCTCCCTGGTGTTATTCTTCCTGGTGTTATTCTCCCTGGCATAATCATCCCTGGTGTTGTTCTCCCTGGTGTTATTCTCCCTGATGTTATCCTCCCTGGTGTTATTCTCCCTGGTGTTATTCTCCCTGGTGTTATTCTCCCTGGTATTGTTCTCCCGGTTGTTGTTCTCCCTGGTGTTATTCTCCCTGGTGTTATTCTCCCTGGTGTTATTCTCCCTGGTGTTATTCTCCCTGGTGTTATTCTCCCGATTGTTGTTCTCCCTGGTGTTATTCTCTCTGGCCTTGTACACCGTAAGATGGAATTCAATAATCAATCGAGAAAATAATGACAAGTTTACGTTTGGTTGTGTTGTTGTATCTTGGCAGGCACTGTGTTACTCCCCACCACTACTCCAACACTAGGGGAGGGACTGTGTTACTCCCCACCACTACTCCAACACTAGGGGAGGCACTGTGTTACTCCCCACTATGCACGACAGATTCCAGAAGATGGAAACAAGTGCTTCCAAATTCCTTGAAAAAATACTCCCTTTAAAGTTTCTTCTTTAGGTGTGTCCCTGAAAACTAAAGAGTCCATGGTGATGAGGAAAACATTGAGGAACAATTCGTGCCTCACAGGGACAACCATATTTTACCATGATATAACTTATTTAAAAAGCAAAACACGACATTCACGTAGGCATATTGTGTTTCCTGCAAATAACTACCAGCGTGTGAGAGAGGAAGACCATAACAAACTGGTGAGATGTCTTAAAGGAAGAACCAGATAACTAAGGAGATGCCTCTCTCGTTCCTGGAAGGATAACCAAGATACAGGACTTAAAAGATCAGCCAATAATGGCATAAAAGAATTAAAAGTTCCAGAAGTTGATTGAGTTAATAATTTACGCATGTCAGTATCTAGAAAATCACTGGATCAAGAACATTTCCCAAGTGAAATTTATGCAGAGAACATGATCCCGATCTTCAACACGGGAGGTAACGGCGACTTAGAGGAGACGTAATAATTATGAAAAAAAAAAAAATGAGAGAAACAAGCACAACAAACAAAAACAACCCAGATATGTGATATAAAAATAACTTGTACATACCTGAAGTATAATGAGTTGTGTTACAGTCCCTCAAGAGACTGTTAATTTTCATCTACTATTACAAAAATAACCCAATCAAATTAACCTTCCCTCCCACTTTACTCCTATAATTGTTTTTGTAAAGGTTAAGTGAGAAAGTCGCCACTTATACTGCGTTATATATTGGAAGGATCTGAAGGTGTTTGTTTTAAAGTAAGAATGGAGGAAACTGCAACGAGCCTATTGGCCCATACTAGGCAGTCCTGTTTACAACCAACCCCTATCGCTCATATTTCCATCCGACCTATGTTTGAAGCCATCCAGCGAATGACAATAGCTTGTGGGGCTACAACGATTGGCGACAGAAACCAACCTACGCTACCCTACCATAATCACTAGATATGTATGTTCATGAAGTTATTAAGTTTGGTTTTAGTTGGTTCGTGTTGTGTCATCGTTAGTGGTTTAGACCTTAAGCTTTCCTGAGGGAATTTTGATGACGATATCATATACTAGTTCTGAAGGAAAACTTCATATATTTCAAATAATTACATTTTTCTTTCCCTCCTATTAGATAAACTTTTACGCATTACACCAAATGTATCCCAAAAGATTCTCCCCCCACGTGCGCACACAAAAAAAACAAACAAGTGGTGGCCCTCTTCTTGACCTTTACCAATAATTGTAGGTACTCTTCAACTAACAGGAACAGCCATGATACTAACAATGTTTTTAATTAACACCAACAATCAATAAGGATACTTGTCTATCGTGTCATAATAACAGCAGCAGAAATAGTGCTCACCTTGCCCTGGTGGTAGAGGAAGCCTTGGGGTCAACTGTCATGTCTTGGGTCAGGGACCATCCTGCCTGAAATAACATTCATGAATGAGGCCATAGTTCTGCTTTCATAACTTTTATTTTATACAATGATACTGATATTTAAAGCAAAATTCTATAAAGTAACACAAGAGATGGTACATACTTCCCTCAGTTCAAGTCCTCGATATAACTTGACACAATGTATAGTACACGAAGTCATTATGGTCAGAACCTCAAAGAGTAAGCCACTTAACCTACACTGACTATTTTCAGATGCTGTGATTCATATTCGATTAATTAGTAATATTTTACCCCTCATAGTCCTTCCCACTAATATCATCATAGGTTATAAGACTTTAATATACTCTACTGTATGTGAGCCCATAGTTCTCATGAAATATTAACCACGAGTTTCGCACGTAAACTAACAAATATCTGACTACTCACTGTATGTATCCAAGACAACTTTTTCACTAGGTCGAGAAAAACCCAGTAATTAGTCACAGGAATTGTTTCTTTACATACAAATGGTAATGAACGACTGAATACTTACAGTAATAATATAATAAAGTTTTACTAGGAAAAGGTTAACCAAGGTCTGTTGATCTTATGTTTCTAAGTCCATTATTTCTGGTGAGAAACATAACTATGGATCAGAAAACAAGATTACTGTCATTCGTAAAACTAATTTGCGTGTTCTTGACTTTAGGTAGAGGTTGTCTCATATATGACTATTGGTAAATAGGTGGTTTACGTGAGAAACGCTTGAAAACTATAAAACAATTTTTTTGCAGTTTCTCATTTACTCAAGAACGCAAAAAACAAATAAATAAAATTACCTTCAAAATAATACAAGGCCACAATGTTAGGTCAGCATAGTTAGGTTAGGATAAAATAGTTAATTTTCTGTTAGAAATAATTTAGTTTCGTAATGTCCCGACCCGATTGTAAACATATTTGGCCCACCTGACTAAAATTTATGGTTACGCCATTTGGTCAAGTAGGTTTACTTGGCTCGTTGCTGTAACAGGATCGGATTCAGGAATACAAAGAAAAGTGGTGGGGGTACAAGAAGTTGTGGGTGGGGGAACTTGGCGAGCGTAGCAAGCCCACCCAGCTGGGCATTTTGAGGCCATTTTGAAGCCATGTGCACTTGATATTAGGAAGTATTCTGAAGTCAGTCGTAAACACTTTTTACTACACAAAAATGACTGAGTACAATACTACATTAAATAAAAAGTATAGGAATTTTCTGGTGAAAAAGCGGGTCCGGACCCCCCGCCCATTCTCCTTTGTGTAAATATGCAAGATGTCCTTCAAAATACTCATGACTTAAACAGCTTATATCTGTTTTTAAATTCCAGTTTACAACATTTCTTCTCTCACTCCGCCAGCTGACAATATAAACATAAGTAGTGAATAAGGGATTACAGTTTCACACAAGTTAAAATGATTTAAACGCTCACTTCATGTATCATTCATAAATAAGATAATGTTTGAATCGTATTTAAAATAATTACCTATTACAAGGAAACAACTACAGTCCTCTCTTAAGTTTTCATTGCCAGTGGATGGACCAAGACGCCATTTTGTAAACAAACAGGCAGGAAATTTCTTCATTCCCCATTTAAGTTTAACAATATGTCTATGTATTCCGCCAAGTACAGTAGGTCCTCGTGAAATGTTATTTGTGTTTATTTGGTGGAGTTATTGGTAAGAGTTTTTAGTGAAGGGGATTAAGGTAATGTTATATAGTGTTAGCTGTTATGGGGTGAGTCAACTCCGGCGGCTCCTTGCCACAGCAACTACACAGCCTCACTGTACATAATATTAACCTCAACAAATACAACCACCACTTACCTCTTGAGTTTATATTCCATCACCAACGATGACACTTTGCATCACTCGTCTATGGCACTTCCTAGCATTTCACTGTGACACTTGTTAACACAACAACAGCGGCGAAAGTACTGTCCGCAGTGGTTCATGACACTGATTCATAAAACATCTCAACCCAGGTGTCGGAGCTTCACGGGACTGAATGAATCGAAAACATTCAAGATTTACACCCCAGAAGTTACGTTTCGTCATAATCTTAATAAAAGTGGCTTTCGACATGTTGATTAAGGATCTGTGGACGAATTATTGAAATTTTGATAATTAATTGTCCTAATTTCTATGAAAACTCGTAATTATCAAACTTTCAACTTTGTGACCATCCCTCCCTCACTCTGACTCCTTCGGTGTGTTCTTTGCCAGGGACCACCGATGCACCACAAGACGTAGCTGGACACGGTGATCATGAGCCAGACACTCACTGGTGTTGTCTTGGTATGGCTCCTTTGCACTGCGCCCACAATAACAGCTGGTTCTCTCGCAGGTAAGCCTCAAGCACCAAGTTGTCCTGTGTTACCCATATGAGGGGGGGGGGGAGGAAGCAGAATGAAATAGAGAGAACGTATGGAAAATAATTAATGTTTAATATCACCTTAATTCTTCCGGTCAGGTGTGTTGAGCGGGCAATTGAAGGTGGATCCAGCTGTGTGGATGGCAGCCAGCAGTGTGGACGAACTCACAGAGACAACACTACAAGGCCACACTGTATTCGTCTACCATGCCTTGGGTAATCTCAGTACTGTGGGTTTGTCATCAAGTATGTATGTATTATGGTGTGTGAGAATGTTTATAAATAGGCGAGCATGTGCGGGTGTATAGTAATAAAAGTCTTTAGTGTATTAAAGTTAGGGGAATATTCTAAATAGTCCTCGAACATTTTGACCCACGATTTTCCTCTTTTTTAAGATTTTTCACATCAAACAGTTATCACCTGTGCATAGAGCTAACACGAAAAACATCTCTAGAAAAACCATGTATCGTTGCTGGCTCAAGAAGCTGGTGTATTTTACGTATTTACCTTAATTATATCTGATGTTTTTTACATTAAAATATCAATCATCAGTGAATATCATCATCTCTTTTCTGTTAATAGACAAGGGTGATCTGGCCTGCCTCACAACCTCCATCCAGCGCAAGACATCGCAGTTGTCGGTGTTCAGTCAGAGAGAATGGAACCATGTGTTTTGGTCGCCCATCACAGAAAACGATAGACCCGAGAGACGACCTAGTAATTTAATTATATTTGGTATTGCAGATTTTATGTATATGAGACAATTAATATGTAAAGTGAAAGTATTTATAATATCAGTTTGTTTTGAATCATTAGATCAACTTTTGAAAAGTTCAAAAATAATGTAATAAGATATTGTTGCTTATATGTTCCAGAAATGTGACAACTTCTTGTATAAAGTAAAAGTATCTTAAAATATTTTGTTTTGAAATATTAGATAATCTTTTGAAAAGTTCTAAGAAATTGTACGAACACAGTTAACGAGAGAAAGCTAACTACTTTAGTTGTTATGAATTGAATATTTAATGACATATTAATAATTTGTTATCAGATTCAGTCTACATAGGAACATATGTCCAATATATTCAAACAAATCTAAACTGACAACTCGCAATACTCGTGAACAATAAAAATTCTAATAGTTACTTAATTTATCTAAGGGCTACCGTAACTTAGTGATGGACATGAAAGGGAAAAGTCTTGCCTACGGCTCAGTACTCTTCTTGCTTAGCTTCCTCGGCTAAGCGTGACAATATTGCGAACTTTGATGCGTTGGACACCATGAAGAAGTGATTTGGGTTTATGTCTTCCACTCCTTTTGGATTTTCAAGGTTTCCCTAAGGTCTTCTGCCATGTTGTGACTTGTTTAAAGAGTTCTCAGTAACCAAGGCCCTCAGACAACTTAAGTAATCCAAATGAATGATTTTTTTTTTGTATTTTGTGTCATCATTATTTAACATTATATAAAATTCTTGCACACTGTGGCACATCAGGATTTCCTCAACGCAAAATAATGTGACCAATAGAATTATAACTCGGTCAATATCATTCATAGCTGCAAAAATATCTTGTGGTAAGTTGTGGGATGTGATATATCTAGTTCCTCAATCTCTGAATCTAGTTCCGGGTGTGATTCAGCAACAAGTGACAGTACAACTAAAGGACTTTTCTCCAACAGCCTTTAACATATAAAATTTTAACCTTTTAAATGTGATAACTACTTGTATTAGTGATGAGGGACGAGTCTTTGATCAAGTTATTATTCAGTAACTCATGAACATTAAGTTAGGTTTAGGTGAGGTAAAGTTAGCTAGGTTTAGATAAGGAGAGGTTTAGGTGAGGTAAAGTTAGCTAGGTTTAGATAAGGAGATGTTTAGGTGAGGTAAAGTTAGCTAGGTTTAGATAAGGAGAGGTTTAGGTGAGGTAAAGTTAGCAAGGTTTAGATAAGGAGAGGTTTAGGTGAGGTAAAGTTAGCTAGGTTTAAATAAGGAGAGCCTTAGACATCATCAGGTGTGGATACGTATCGCAGTGAGTATTGTGATTCTTATTGAAATTAAAGTAAGGAGTTTAGAGTTACACAAGATATATTCAACATTAATTATTTAGAATTAAAGTTTTCGAACCTTTACTCTTCATTAGATATTTTCATTAATTTTGATATAAGAAGACTTTGATTTTACCGACAAACACAAAATTAAACATAACCTTTTAGCGGGAATTCTTGGGGACGAAATACACTACAATGGCAGGTATGGGGACGAGTGCCAAGCCAACGTTTATGTCCCTCTCTCTCTTAAAGCATAAATTCTCTCTCTTAATGCTTAAACTCTCTCTTAATGCTTAAATTCTCTCTTAATGCTTAAATTTTCTCTCTTAATGCTTAAATTCTCTCTCTTAATGCTTAAAATCTCTCTCATAATGCTTAAAATCTCTCTCATAATGCTTAAGTTCTTTCTCTCAATGCTTAAAATATCAATTGATCAGTAACTTCATAATTTTTCATATAAAAATTGCAAGATAAGTATCACCTATTATTTCTATATGAGAAAACATCTATAGAATTGATCATACGTGTTCAAAACTCTTGAGGTCTTGCCTAATATACAGGTACAGTATTTGAGACTTGATATGGGACACTTTATGCCCACCAAGACTATTTCCTAATGTTACCGGAGGGGAGAGGGGTTAGGTTAGGTTAGGTTGGCATTATAGTGACTATTCTCAATGTAAAACTAGGGAGGGATTAATCTTCAAGCGATTCCTAGATTGTTTAAATAAATTACATCTTCCATAGTTCTATCATTCAGTTTCCTAAATGGGGTCGTTTTTATCATAGCCATGTGTGTCTTGAACTAAAATAAACTACGATAAAAATTAATTATAGGTTACTGAAGGTGATTTAAATTTTACCTCATGTGTGACACAAATGAAGCCTTTTTAGTTTTTCAGGTGTTGTACTGACTGCAGGAACGACCACGTCAGGGGTATTCAATACTCTTCTTCTGTAAACTTTTATGCATATTATCTCACTTAACTAACATGACTGCAGCAGAGGTGGGGTACAGGACACCCAACGCTTCCCAGGTGGTGCAGCATGTTAGCTAATTCTTCTTCTGAATAAACTTTTTACTATTACAATTTATTCGCTACCGATTTTTTAATATCCACATCAAGAACCTGATAACACAGTATTAGTATTTGCTTATTTATTTTATGTGGTCCTCAACACAAGATTCAAAATGGTTACAGAAAACAATTGTGAAGGAAAAAGAAACACAACAGAAATTCGAGATTATTTACAAACATTTTAATTTTGAGCCAAAACATACGAGTAAAGTTTTATTCGAACTAATTTAAGAAATTTACAGTGGATCTAAATATTAGTTTAGTTAATCATGAATATTCTCTCTTATGGTAAAGTAAAGTAAAATAAAATATTATCTGGGTAGCTATTCTAATATTTCTATAGGCTAAGCTATTAAAAGCTTCTTTACTTTAGACAGTCCTTATACTTTAAAATAAGTTGGTATCATGCATAATGACTTAAATTTAAATATAATTAAATCACTAGTGGACAAAAAAAAAATGCTTCTTTAATGTAATTTTACTCTGTTTAATTAAATATTCTCTGGATTTTTATCAAAATTTATTCTTAAACGACTCCCACAGATGCACTAAATGTCGTATATGTGCTGCCCAAATTACAATAATATTTCCATTTATATCTCGTGACTTGTAACCATCTGAAGGAATGTTTGTTGAAACCTTTGAGAGATAATTAAATAAAAGGTGTTGAAAGTATTTGTGTGTGTGTGTGTGTGTGTTGAGGTAGTTATGTGTATCTAATACTCTATAGGACTAGGCGTGTGTGTGTCTGTTCTGGGCAGCCGAAACGGCACAATCGTTTTTAATCAAACTTGGTGTAAGAATCGCAAAAAAATCGTAGAGTGGAACAAACCTGGTCCCATGTCGATGGTTTCTTTAGGAAGGCATTAATTAACAATTGTATTTACGATGGAAAACGATGCAAGTCTACGGACTTGGCACACCTCGTTCGCTATACGCTGTCACGAGCCTTCAAACTCTCACAAGGGCGCGAACGTGCTCACGATCACTTGTATCTCTCTATATCTCTAAACTATTAATGATGATGGCGTCTAGACAGAGAAGAATCAATAAATGAAATAAACAAATAAATACATAGCTAAATAAATAAATTGATAAGTAAATAAATAAATGAATAAATGGAAGAACAAATTATATCATCAGTATTGTCTACCGTTATATGATATAGAACCTCAAGATAACTTTATATTCAGCTGCCTTTTTGTAACACAGTAAGTAAAGAAACGGTAAGATAGCGAGTATTGACTGAGTGTCTGCTCCCTGGTGGAAGTGTTGTTAGGCCAGAGAATCATGAGGATGGTGTGTTATACAAGAAAACTTTTAACTAGATCCTCATGACTTAAGGCTGAGGGAGGAGACGAGGGGAGAGAGAGGGAGGACGGGAGAGTGGGAAAGAGGCTGGATCTCTCTATTTGGTCACCTTAAGCTTTACGTCTTAAGCTGGTTCTCCCTCCTTGGACGCCTTAAGCTTTACATCTTAAGCTGGATCTCTCTACTTGGACTATTTTAAGCTTTACATCTTAAGCTGGTTCTCCCTCCTTGGACGCCTTAAGCTTTACATCTTAAGCTGGTTCTCCCTCCTTAGGCACCTTAAGCTTTACGTCTTAAACTGGTTCTCTCTCCTTGGCCTCGTCCAACTCCTTCTTGATTGCATTTCCTTGATACGCTCCAATTTAGTCGATGTTTTCCCACACTTTTCCTCGGTAGAGCTTGTGATGGTTTTCCTGCCAGGAAATTCCTTCATGTGATCATTGGTCGTCGTGGGCCTCGCCTGCAGACGAAGCTACACTTCCTCACCACTTCATCTTCACCTCGTCATCTTCTGTATGATTCATCCACCAAAACTACTCTGCTATGATACTTCACGCTCTCAGTCTGACACAAACTCCTAAGAATCTAATGGAGAACCAACACACGGAAAGTTTTGACATGAAGGAAATTGACATACTCATTAGCGAGGGAAAAAGAACTTTGTTATAAGTTTGCCTTTTGGCGGAACTCGGGCTCGCTGTAACAGGTTAATCGTGAATATATTTCCTCTCCCGTCTCATACACTTGAAATGTTTAATAGAATTTATCCCGTTTCTAACTCCCAGTGGAAAGAAAAAATAACCCTGCGTTATTATTTTTTTATAAATAAGTAAAACGTTTTTATAAATCATGAAAGGGGATTATTTTTATTTATGTTAAATCCATTTTCTGTCTAGGTTCTTGTAGAAAGCATAAATATTATTATTATTATTATTATTATTATTATTATTATTATTATTATTATTATTATTATTATTATTATTATTATTATTATTATTATTAAGCAACATCATCCCCGACAGATGTCACCAGCAGAGGTCGGCTACACAGAAGGCGCTGAAGGTGGCCACATCAGGACCACCAAACTTTTAAATCTTATAAAACTTTGGTCATGACGGGATGTAAAGTTGGTGAAGGAGAGACAACAAACTGTGGCGAGAAAATACCCCCCAAAATACTTACGGATGAAAAGTATAGATAAATGTATATTCTCGACAATTAAATAATGGATAAGAGACAACACACACACACACACACACACACACACACACACACACACACACACACACACATTATGATACAAAATACTGAAGGAATGTATATTAATTACTTACTGAGATCATGTTTACTGTAAGCATTTGGTCGACTTACACAAGAGAAAGGCCCACGAGTTCAGGTGAAGTAAGAGAGTTTGTGTGGATCATAAAATGTTTGATCTTTACTACAAATGTAAAAGCTGAAACAAAGAAGAGAATACAAAGGAAGTTCTCTTAATATAATTGAACTTATCCCATTCTCTTTCCCTGTGGAGGTGCTGATGTACAATTGTTTTCACACACACACACACACACACACACACACACACACACACACACACACTTGTATAAACTATATAATGACATGATATCTACTATGTAACTCCGCCCTGTTGTCCAGCACAAGAAGTAAAGATCGGCCGTCAACACCAGGAAGTACCAGCTGGTCACTGACGCTTACAGAGGAGGGAAAGATATTCAATCCAACTTTGAACGAAACTAAAAGATTAATTTTGTTTATAAATGTAATAGGGAAATGATAAAGGAAATTAATGATCCAATGATTATTTTTATATATTAAGACTGTTAAACACACACTGATGAATTAGATGATATGACGTAATTGTTAAAGCTATGAAAACAAATTAATATCAAAATTAATTCGTAATAACAAACATTTCTTACTTTTCACGTTATTAATATAAAAAGAAAAAAATACCAAATAAATGAAAAAAAATGCATTTGTAGAGACAGACGAAAGACACGTGGGGTAATGTTGTTAGAGGGAGCAGCGACTCACCAGAGACAAAGTTATAAACAAAGTTGTTCTTCTTCCAACAACTGAGTGAGCAGAGTAGTTTTGGTGGATGAATCATACAGAAGATGACGAGGTGAAGATGAAGCGGTGAGGAAGTGTAGCTTGGGCTGCAGGCGAGGCCCACGACGACCAATGATCACATGAAGGAATTTCCTGGCAGGAAAACCATCACAAGCTCGAGGGAGGAAAAGTGTGGCAAAACATCGACTAAATTGGACTCTTAAGGAGCGTATCAAGGAAATGCAATCAAGAAGGAGTTGGACGAGGCCGAGGAGGGAGAACCAGCTTAAGACGTAAGGCTTAAGGTGCCCAAGGAGAGAGAACCAGCCTAAGACGTAAAGCTTAAGGTGCCCAAGGAGGGAGAACCAGCTTAAGATGTAACGCTTAAGGTGCCCGAGGGAGAACCAGCTTAAAACGTAAAGCTTAAGGTGCCCAAGGAGAGAGAACCAGCTTAAGACGTAAAGCTTAAGGTGCCCAAGGAGGGAGAACCAGCTTAAGATGTAACGCTTAAGGTGCCCGAGGGAGAACCAGCTTAAAACGTAAAGCTTAAGGTGCCCAAGGAGGGAGAACTAGCTTAAGACGTAACGCTTAAGGTGACCAAGGAGGGAGAACCAGCTTAAGACGTAAAGCTTAAGGTGCCCAAGGAGGGAGAACCAGCTTAAGACGTAAAGCTTAAAGCGTTCATAGAAGAGGTACAATTTGAGGACGTAAATGGCTACTTATGAGCAGCCAACATTTAGATAAATGTCCTGACCCCAAGAGATGACCTTGAGAAAGTTCTAAACTTGATGGGTGTTGTGTGTCAGACGGAAGAGCGGTAAAGTCCACCAACTGTGTCCAGATGATCAATGGATCCATTTCCTCCCTGAACCCTCGATGCAATCCTGTCAACTCGTACGCCTCCTGTTTCCTCTCTCTTTCTCTCCCCTCCTAACTTTTTCCTCTCCCTTTACTCTCCCCTCCTTCAATTTTTCTCCTTTTCCCGCTCTCTTCTCCCTCTTCCTCTCCCCCACATTAGTCCTTCCAAGTCGTAAATCCCAAAACCTTGTTAAAACTTTTCAAATCTAGAAAATTATTCTCTTGGTGTTCGTCCCCAAGAACACGGGGCCAACGAAGACTACAATGAGCTCCTGCACAGCCTGCTGATGTATGTCTTTGTTGAGTTGTTCAAGTTTAACCGTTGTGAGTCTCGTTATGTCCTTCTCGGATATTCTGTTTTGTTTATTAACATCTTCTGCGGGTTATTCATAATGGCTATTAGGTAAATTATATTGAAGAATTAATAATCTGAGTTCATTTCCGTCATACCATTTATGTATAACATAAAGCGATGATGCCTGAATTACCTCCCTCTGAAATTCCTTTTATATCTAAAAAAGTGGAAGTTTTGTGAGCCTGTAAGCCTGATAGTTAATTAAATTTAGACTCAGCCTCGATGCGGTGTATAATTCATGAGGATAATCTCTGCAAAATAATATTAGGTAGCGGAAACTTCCTCCCATTAATTAATAACATTTTCTTACAAACAGGAAAACATTTATAATACTAATGGCTGAACTACGTAGTTGTTTGTCTTACTGTAGAGTGAGAGTGAAGCCTGGCTGTTGTGGCCGGGCTCCTGACGCA